TCTCCCCCCCCTTATGGAGTATATTCTGCCCTTCCCCCATGAAGTATTTATTTTTCCCCCTGTATATGAAGTATATTTCCCCCTCCCCTTATGGAGTATATTCCTCCCCCCCTTAATGGAGTATTTAGGAGTATTCTCCCTGGCCCCCTATTGAATATTCCCCTCCGCCCTGGAGTTTTTCTTTATGGAGCATTTCCTCCCTGCCACATGGGCCCTCACATATCAAGTTTCCTGGGGTGGTCGGGAGACCTGCGTGTGCTTGGTGGAGTTATTTGGGGGGGGGGGGGTTGCTTTATTTTCTCCCGACTGGTTAGCCGAGTTGCACGGGACATTCTGTTTGCTGCTCTGACTCGAAGCGTAGTGGTGCGTGTGTTTGTGTGCGTGCGTGTCATTAATCTCTCTCTCTTTTTTTAGAAAAGCTTATAGGTTTGGGGAGGGGGAGAAGAAATCTGCCCTGACTAGACAGCAGCAGCCTGTAGGATCCTAACATGGCGCCTGAGAGGCACATGATGCAAAAGAAGGGAAAGAGGAGGCTCCCTCTGAGCCCAACCCAGGCAGTTGCTGACATCAGTCAGCCTGTGGGCACATGGCTGGGGGTTTATTGCACCTTTCTTAGCAAGAGAGTTTTTTAGCTATAAAAACTCTTTTTCACCACCCCTAAGCAAAACCTCTCTGTTCTCTCCTGCTCCCTCTACTATTTAGGTATATTGTAGGGTTTTTGTTTTGTGGTTATACATTGTGGCATATAATGGTGAGAATTACAATACTTAAGAGGGGGGAACTAGAGGCCTCAAATTATTTAATCTAATTTTTTTCATCAATGCAGGATGACTTCTTAAAAGTATTCTTCAGATCTTTGTCCAGTCTAATTTTAAGTGTCGCGAGGGGCTGGGCTTTGCCATTTCTTTGGGGAGCTGATTTCATAACAATCAATCTCACCATTATTTCTAATAGGGGGCAGCGGGTGCATATACAATGATTTGTTATGAATTCTAATGCTGTCAAATATCTTCATTTCTGCGTGCTTTTGGAGCTTCCCCCCTATGAGTGTTTTTATAGATGTTTTAAATCCTGTATCTATGGTTAGAATTGCATAGTTACTGTTTGTGACTATGGTTATATGAAGGCAAGTTTTTAGTTTTTCCCGGGGAATTGATCTCCTTTATTAAGCCACTTTTTAAAAGTGTTGCCTGGAGACAGCTTGTTTAGTGTAAAACTGAGTGGTCTGCTTTACATTTTTAATAAATGGTTATGAAATGTGTGACTGGTATTTAAAATTTGTAAATAAAATGTGTGAAATATGTATTTGTCTTTTTATTTTCCATTGTGTAGTGCAGAATCCGTTTCTAAGACGTATTCTGCTAACATGGTTATTTAACCAAAGGTGTTCAAAAGTTGCGTGACCTGGGGTTCAGCTATCTTATATAAGTATAAGGTGCAAATCTTTTGGGCAACTAATAAAAGAACAGAGCCACACATTTCCAACAATACCTTTCATACCTGATTTAAAGAAAGAACAGTGGGTGTTCTACAATGAAAGCTAACCGCCATATTTAATACGTTCTAGTATCTTTGGGTATCCTGGTGATCTTGTTGATCTTTCCTAATTTTTGGTGGGTGCCCTGTGGGTATCTTTAACCAGGAGACCCTTGAAAATCACAATGATGACCATAGCTAGGATTCCCAGTTTCCTGTTTGTGCTAAACTGAACGCTTGCTAGCAGTTTTGAAAAATACTTTCAGAAACAAGGATTTACAGATTTCAGCCTAATCTAAATCCTGGTTCTTAAAAATGACATTGAATAATTTATGCAGCAAACTCAGTTTTGAATACTTAACTCCTAAATTATATAAGTTGATTTGGAAACAGGCTTCCTTACCTGAATGAAGTGGTTCCACATGTGATTATTTTTCACAATCTGATGCCTGATGAAGGTGACAGTTGTGGGTTCTTTTTTTCTTAAGGGATTTGCTACTAGTTTTAATGGACCCCCCCAAGGCCTTAGGCTTTAAAGTTTAGCTACTTTCAGCTGTATAGATGCATTCAGTGATGAACTGAAAAAATACATAACACTATCAGTTGCTGGTGAGACAGCTCTATGTATGTTTCACTGAAAGTGCCTTGAAAATCAGACAAGCTATACATTTGATCACAACCTTCCCCTCCTTTTTAACAAGATGTTTTTAGAATTTACAAATGCAATGTTTAACTTACTATTTTGTGGACTACCTTGAAGAAGAAACCCAAACTCTTCCAGCCATTTTAGTATTGTGAAGCATTGGACCTATAACCTTGGTTTTGAAGGCTAGAGGGGGTGTGACTTTATTTCATTGGTGGTTGCTTTAGCTCAGTTAATCATGCTTTCAACATTCAGATTAATGGGCCATTATTGCATATGTCATATTGTTCATTTACAGAAATTAATTTACATGTCCCATGCATCTCCCGGATTCCTGTTATATGCAAAGACCTATCAAAGGCCCATTAAAGTTTCCCCTCCATATCTAAACTAGTTTAGGGAGTGACCAGATTGAATACCAGCCTGATATAAAAAAGAAATTGCCGAAGGTATGACAGAACATGGCTCTGATTCACCCCCCAAAAGTTAAAGGACTCAGAATGTCCTATATATTTTTCCCCTTTGTTTACTTAAGCCCCTTCAGTGGTGAAGGTATTAAATAAAACTGTAAAGCAAGAGCATTTCCACACACTTGTCTGGACAATGGGTTTTTTTTTAATTGAGGTGTTATTAACGATGGATCGATCTTTTAGCCAATCCTGGCTCAAGTTACTGATGAGTAAACTTACTCTCACTTAACACTTGACTAAAGGGATGGTGAATGGGTATTTAAAAGTTGTGTCACTGCAAGCTCCTATATGGGAGCACAGTCAATGGACAGTTTATGCTGTTGCGTCTTTTACGTTGTCCTCACCAACAAGTCTGTGTACCTGCTGATGCTTTCTGGAAATTTGCTGTGCCTTCTGCTTGGGAAAGCTGATGGTAGGCATTCAGTTTCTTTTGCTTTGGGCCAGCAAGGTTTCATGCGCGTTCGTAGTTGCTGTGCCAGTTTCAACACCACCACACTGTTCCTGTTGCACAAACTTGTTATCAGTTCTGAAAAAAAAAAAAGTGGAAACCAAAAAACCAAACCAAACCCATCCTGCTTGTTTGGTAATGGAGTACCCAGAGTTTGAAGACTGTCTTCACTGAAAATCGTGGTTGCCAGTTACAAGCTCATCTGTACTTACATGATCAAGCTCATAACTGAGTTTTGCTTGGATTTAGAACTTTGTTTTAGCTGCATATTTTGCCTGCACCATGAAAATCCTACTAACTGCAGCTGCCAAGGGGAGGATGAGACTCCTCATGTTTTTCGTTTGGATTACAAGGAAGTAACTTTATTCCAAATATTCTTTACCAAGGGACTATGGTATTCAACGTTAACTTACGGCTACAGAACTTCAATATTTTTTGGGCTTTCTGCCAGAATTCTGACATGCAAGATGTAGATAAACAGCTTTAAATTGGGTCAAATTACATTTTTTTAGATGTTCCAGCAGATGCTAATAGTGATTTCATGTTAATCAGTTCTTTCAAATGAATCTGAAACAGTTTGTTCAGCACCCCTAATAGTAACACTTGGGCTCATTTCCCCCCCCATCTTTTTCGTACACAAGCATAACAATTAGTTGAAACCCTTTTTGTGTGGTTGAAACACTGCCTGGTACTTTGAGTTTGAATATCAACTCTTCATATGTGTAACAGTTCTTTGATTTATAGCGTGAACCAAAATAGAGGTCTCTATTTTTGTTTGGGATTGATAATACCTTAACTTTAACATTTTTGAGTGCACTAAACTTCTCAGTTTCTTCTTATTGCTCCAGGCTCCTCCTTCAGAGAAGCTTCCTGTTATGTACCTTATGGATTCCATTGTCAAGAATGTTGGAAGAGAGTATCTTACTGCGTTTACTAAAAACCTAGTTGCAACATTTATTTGTGTATTTGAAAAGGTATATATGCTTTCAGAAAAGTTCTGTATTCTAAGCAGAGTTTGTTCCTGCATAAATAAATACTTGGTTTTCAGTGTTGGATTTTTTGGACAGAGAAATGTAAGAATTAATGTTTTCTTCAATAATTTTATTACTACTATGTGTCATTAAGAGGAAATTTGTTTTTTGTGCTGGTTTCTGAGAAATTTTAAGTTATGATATCAGCTTACAGGGTCCAGAGATGAGTTTACTTAAATTTCAGTAATTTCTCCCCTACCAGGCAAGTCTTAACTAGCACAAAAAGAGCTAATGAATACAATGCTTGCCTGATTTAAAAAAAAAAAAATCTGTTGCACTGTACAGGTAAATTAATTCTGAATTGATTTATTTTTAAGGTAGGAAATATTCTTTGTACAAAGACATATTGGGGAAACCTTTTTAAAATGTATGAGCTTCTGAGTGGAGTTTTTTGTTTTTTGTATTTGAAGTGGATTTAGCTTTCATTTTTAAATATTTTTGCCACCTTAAATGCAAAAAGAGTGCTTAGATTAGGAAGTGTGGCTATCAGCAGCATTCTTATATTTTTTTTTTAGTAGGCTATAATAAGTCTGGTGAAAAACTTGCTAAGAATGCATAACTCTATTGCGTTGCAAGTGAGTTTTTAGTTTAATCTAAAGTTTTGCTGCTGCATTTGATTTACTTACTTTTGCTCTCAATAAGAGAGTAACAGGCAGACTGAATCATTTTTTAGATTGGACTAGACCTTAATCAGTTTCGATTGCGAACTGAAAATGGGCTCTTAGCCTGTATTTCTGCATATTGTATTTAACAGAGAAAATCAGTCAATATTTTGGTTCACATTTTGTGTACATTCATCTGATTTTTCAGTTCATATTAGGATCTTGGTATTTATTTTAACACTTCCTTTCATATACAGATTTTTAGGTATGAGTATATTTTTTAGTATGTGGCTTGAGGGAGTTAGTGATGAACAAAGAATATTTAAAAATTGTTCACATGAAGCTATGATGGCAGGTCTCAACAGTAGAAGTTCTACCCAGGTGTTTCAGTGCAACATTGCAAACATTCATAAAGAAAATCAAGCTTCAGCTCATTGAAACTATAGCAGTCTTTGGTTTAATTGTTTCTGAGCTTAATACCTTTAATACCGACTGCTTAGAACTATTCCTTTTGGTATTTTGTTTTAATTTTTCTTGTGTCTGTGTATTGTAAGGAAATAGCCTTTAATAATTTGGCATTAATATAGGATGAACTCTTGATTTATAATCATTTTGGATCTCTTAAGACTGACATTGTTTTAAAAAAAATGTTTATTAAGAGATGATTATTGAAGTCAATTTGTCAGCTCTGTTCTAATTAGGCTTTTTTTCTTGCAAATTTTAAAATTATTACATTGAACAAAAATAACTAGAGTTTTCCTGGAGGATTGCAGTATGTAATACAAGTGACTGAATTTAAAACAGTGTTCCAAATTATCACACATCCCATTTTAATAATTTGTAGAGTTGAAATTATAAATACTGCAGTAATAACTGGCCTGTAAAACAGATATTATTTGATTAAATAACACACGGACTGGGGCACAAGTATGAAGATGTGTTATCTGTCCTCAAATTTCTCTCTCAGTAAACTAAGGAAATTCTTTAAGTCAATAAACAAATATTGTTTTAATATAAATTTCTAGTTTACTTGGTAGTATAATCTACTCTCCTCAAAGAGTTTGCAAAAGGATACATGGATATTTTGAGATTTACATAAACTATAAATGATAGTTTATGGTTCTGTCTAATCTTACAGCTGAACCAAAAGTTGAATTGACGTAATGTTAGGTTGTTTTTTTTTGGTGCATTTGCTTATATTGTTTTCCAATGATAAAAAACTGCTTTTGGGCTGGCCCTCCCCTGCACACTTTGGCTGTGATTTTGTGACATGCAAGCCCCAGGTAGTGTCTAAATTTTCAGTGTTTAATATATTCATCAATCATTTTTAATTTCAGTAAAATGACTAGGACTAGATTAAACCCCCCTTTTTTTTTTTTTTTACAGGAATTTGGCAAAATCTAATAAAACTTGTATCTTAATACATAAAAAGTTCTCCTAAATAGAGCCTATTAAAGAGGATGGTAGCATGTTACCAAACCCTCATATGCTCTTCAGACAATTCCACATTTATATATTTGTGCTGTTTTAAGTTTTTTGGTTTTTTTAATTGAATTTTATGCGCGCGCACATATGTTAAAACTTAGGTTGTAAAGGTGCTGTATTTGATACGAATGATGTAAAAGATGTGTTTCTTTAAGCACTTTATAATACTATACTAAACTATTTGCTAACACTTTTTTAAGGTTGAGCCTTCTAAATCAATGCAGGCCTAACATATTTGGAATGGTAGATTTTTTTGTAAATAAACTCTGTAAAACTTTTTTTATATTAACTTAACAAGCCATAGAATTGTTCTATTGTTTTTAGGTGGATGAAAATACTAGGAAAAGTTTATTTAAATTACGCTCTACATGGGATGATATTTTCCCTTTGAAGAAGCTATATGCCCTCGATGTCAGAGTCAACTCATTAGATCCTGCTTGGCCTATTAAACCTCTACCCCCAAATGTGAATACTTCTAGCATCCATGTGAATCCTAAGTTTTTAAATAAATCGGTAAGTTTGAATGTGGTTACTGCATGAACAGATGGTATTATACATAGTTTAATTGCGTTGCCTTGTTTACTGAAACTAAGCCAGTATTAAGAATTTGGACGAAGGATGAAGTAGGTGATGTGGTTAGGTGGATGGGTAACAGAGTTTTGATGCTTCTGGTGTTTAAATGAGTTCATTTTTACTTATCAAAACTGGACTGTAAAATGCTAAATTTTAATAATCTAATTTGTATTAAATGATTTTATATGATGTGATGCTTTCAAACTCAAATTGAGCAAAATGTTAAATGTTTGTTCTAATGCTTTTATTGAAAAACAGTTGATGTACAGATGCTGATTATCATATAAATGAAATAAGTTATTGTTTTAGTACTGATCGAAATTAGTTAGTTTTGAAACACCTGGCTTTGTTTCCTTCATGAGCTATAGTAATCTTAAAATTATTTTTATTTTTAGCCTGAGGAACCTTCTACACCTACCTCTGGAGTCACTTCGTCTGGTGTCTCAACTCCTCCAGCTGTTCCTGAAATACAGAAGAATTTGACACAAGAGCAACTAATAAGACAGCAACTGCTTGCAAAGCAAAAACAGTTGTTAGAACTTCAGCAGAAAAAATTAGAGCTGGAGCTAGAACAGACTAAAGCACAATTGGTGAGTAGGGTAGTTTGGAGTCTTCTCATGCGTGGCAAGCTTTAATTTTGCTTTTGGAAGTGTTGAACACTTCCTTGGCTGTACACTGTTTACTATATGGAATGGGCTACTGCATGATTCTCACTTCTTGTCAAGGGTAGATATTTTAGAATATCAGGGCTAGCTAAGTATTTCTAATTGCAGGATTTAGGAGCCTTGGCACCAAATGTATATTTCACAGACTATCTTCATAATTATTTTAGTCATACCTGAAGTAAGCAAAGGTTCTTTCTGCTGGTCTTCTCCCCAAGGTGATGTGTACTGCAACACTGAGTTAATCTTCTCATTTCTTGTGATAATCACTATACCATATCTATAAATGTTGAACACAAGCAGCTTTTTTTATTTTATTTATTTGTATAAAGAACATCTGTTTCTAAAGTGCAAACTCGGGAAGGCAGGTCCTTAATTTGAATAATCATGTCACGCTTGTTTCTAATAGCCTGAAGGTGGCTGTCCTTCATGTTTCCATATACTTGTATCTTTCCTACTCAAGTGGTTAAAAATAAACAATTTAAACCACTAGTGCTCAACCCTCCAGCCCTGTGGGCTGTATGAGTGGCACGGGCTGGTTCTTGAAGTAAATCTAGCCTGGGGTTGATGTACAGGTGTGGTCTTGTGCGTTGGTTTGGCTTCAGATCCTGGATCTGGCCATGGAGTAACTCGATGCAACATCTGGCCCCGCAGCCATGTCATGCAGTATGCAAGGTTCCACTCAGGCCAAATGATGTGGCCCCATGCACTGAATTTGGCTTGTGGGCTGGAAGCTGAGCAGCACTGATTTAAATCATACAAGTACTTAATATTTGGCATATTAGGTAGCTTACCGTTTACTTTTTTTGGTGTCTGGGGTAAGGTGAAAAAACTATGAAATACAAGTATAAGAAATTTTACTTGATCTTTTAGTGGGATCTTTTAAATAATCTCTTATGTGGTACTGACATTTATTGCATTTCTACTTTCTCTGCTGTTTTCTATAATGTTATTGCTTTATTTTAATATGCAAGGGAACTTCTGTGAATATATTTTTATTCTGCAGTTGAGTTTCAAGATGTGGCACAGCAGAATAACTTTAAAATGAGTAGGGTTTCTTTCTTACAGGCTAACACTTTTCCCCTCCCCCCATCTTTCAGGCGGTTTCTCTTAGTGTTCAGCAAGGAACATCTACCATGAGTCCAGTTCCAGCACCTTCCAAGCAACATGTGTGTCAAACTCCTCAGATGTCAGTTAAAGCTTCCCCTGTGCAATCTGAAAGGAGCAGACCTTCTCCAATCCCTCAAGTTCATGATATTAAATTAGTGAACAGAGATCCTCGACTTAATAGGATGGCTCAGCATTCCTCTCACGCTAAAGAGCAAAGTCATCGGAAGGAATTTCTGTCAACCACAACAAATCAGTCTGATATCAAGGTCAATAAAACTGTGCAACCTGAAAAACAAAACACATCAAAGCAAGAAAAGTTAAAATCAAATGAAAAAATACAGAAGAAAGAACTTGATCAGGCAGAAACAAAATCTAAATCACCATCCCCTTTGAAAAATAAATTATCCCACACTAAAGATACTAAAACTCCAACATGCGAAAACATGAAATTGTCTGATATTAGTAAGAGAGATCCAAGACTAAAAAAGCATCTTCAGGAGAAGCCAGATGTTAAAGATGATGACACAAAAGAAAAGAGGAAAAGTATAGAGAAAAAAGAAAAAGAGGAACATAAGACATCTGAACACAGACCTGTTGGTAGTAGAAATAAAGTAATTAATGGTGTTGTACAGAAACAAGATGCCAACACAGAAGATTCAGAAAAACAGGGTGGAAAACCTGGACGATCCAGTAATAGGAAAAGGTCACGATCGCGCTCTCCTAAGTCTCGTTCACCATCTGCACATTCTCCAAAGAGGAGAGATAGGCGATCGCCCAAAAGAAGACTGAGGAGTCTGTCCCCTACCTCCTCAACTCCAAAAATTGGAAAGGTTCGTCAGTCAGGTCTTAAACAGTCTCATGCTGAGGAATTTACTCAAACCACAAGAGACGAAAGAAACTCTAATAAGAGAAACGTTAAACAAGATGTGAGAGATCCGAGGAGATTGAAAAAAACTCAAGATGAGAGACCACAGGAAACTGTAAATCAACATTCTGCAAAATCCACCCCAGAACCAAAGGAGAATGTGGAGAATTGGCAAGGTCCCAAATCAAGCAAAAGGTGGAAATCTGGTTGGGAGGAAAGTAAAAAGTAAGTTACTGATTTTGAGCTTGTTCCTTCTGAAACCAGTTGGAGTGTGTCATTGACTTCAGCAAGTTTGGGACGCAACGTTAGGCTTTTCAGAGAAACTGGGTTCACAGCCTTGATATATTTCAAATAGTTAACAGTGAAAAAATGCCGGAATTCTGCTAAGAGTGGCTGGGGTGTAGCAGCCATAAATGGGATAAGTTATAAGGAGTGTAATGAATGATGTCTGTTTTTATTTAAAAAAAATTTGTTTTAAATTTCCTCATTTTTTGTTTTCAGCTTACAACAGAGTGAAGAACATCAAGGACTTGGTAAATCACCACATCAAAGGCATAGGGAAAATTGGGCAGCTGGTAAAGGAATTTTGTCACCTCGCGCACCAAAACTGCAGCATCGATTGAGTGTGGATGCCAATTTGCAGATTCCCAAAGAATTGACTTCTGCAAGCAAGAGAGAATTACTCAAAAAAGTAATATTCAGTTAGATCCATCCTTGTAGAGAGATTATTTAAGAAGTTTTAAAATCAAAATATAAAATGTATTTTCCTTTTTCTTACTTCGTAGGCAAATGAACGTCTGGCATCTGGTGAAATAACACAAGATGAGTTCCTGGTTGTGGCTCATCAGATTCGTCAGTTGTTCCAATATCAGGAAGGAAAGCACAGATGCAATGTGTGGGATAGTCCTACAGATGAAAAATGTGGCGTGAAAAAGAAGCCCCTTCTTTCAGATGCTGAATTAACATACTACGAGCATAAAGCTAAATTGAAAAGAACACAAGTTCAACATGCATTTCCAAGGCTTGATTTGTTGGATCCTGATGATATTTTAGACTACCATTTGACAGACGCATTGCTTTCTGGACTGGAATGCGAGCAAGCAAAAAAACGAGCACAGTTTGACCGAAAAGAGCAGTTTGGAGAAAGGTCAAGACGGCATTCTCCGATATCTGGTAATAGACCTTTCACTGATAATCTTTCACCACATGAAAGTGAGCGAAGACATGATGAGCAGAATTCCTCTAAAGGAACAAGCAGTTCTAAAAGCTTTGATCCTTATGATAGCTGGGGAGAATCAGATGAATTTAGAGATGTGTTTGGGCAACAAGGGAAAAGTACACCAGAATTCCAGAAAATTGATGGAGAGGGATTTTGCAAATTTGATAATCCTGAAGACAGGCAAATGCTTGGACAGAGTGGTACATATTTAATTTTTATATTATGGATGATAGGTGACTTGAAAGATTTCACTAAGTAAAAGTAGTGACTTTTTTTCATTTTTTAAAGGTGTTCGAGAAGAACCAAGATCTCCTTTCAGTGAACGTTTCAAGAGATCTAGATATGAAGATCCAGAGAAAACAGCATTTACCGACAGTCCTGGGTCAAGATTTGGAGGCATTGAAGTAAAGCAGAGAATAACTGCATTGATGGAGGACAGACCTCTGTTTGATGGGCCATCTAGACCGCCTGTTTCAAGGGGAGGGGGAGATGGACAAGCAAGTCATTTTGTTGATGGGCCATCTAATAACTCAAATTCTAGAATTGATGGGCCACCTGCACAGGCCTCTTTGAGGTTTGAAGGGCCACTAGGACAGGTTGGTGCTGGGGGTGCCCCTCAGTTTGATGGACCATTAGCACAGGCAGGAGGAGGGGGTGGCATGCGGTTTGATGGACCACCAGGACAGATAGGCAGTGGCCTTAGGTTTGAGGGGCCCTCAGGGCAGGTAGGTGGAGGGGGTGCAATCAGGTTTGAGGGCCCTCTTGGGCAGGTAGGGAATGCTTTGAGGTTTGAGGGACCTACGGGCCCATCTGTGGGTAGTCTCAGGTTTGAGGGCCCTACAGGCCAGCCTGTGGGTAGTCTCAGGTTTGAGGGGCCTCGTGGTCAGCCATCAGGTGGTCTCAGATTTGAGGGACCTCATGGTCAACCTATGGGCCCTCGTGTTCATCCAGGGGGTGGTCTCAGATTTGAGGGACCCCATGGTCAACCTATGGGACCTCATAGCCAACCAGGGGGTGGCCTCAGGTTTGAGGGACCACATTTACAACAATTGGGGCCCCATGGTCAACCAGCAGGTGGTATGCGATTTGAAGGACCACATAGTCAGCCTTTGGGACCACATGGTCAACCGGGGGGTGGTCTCAGGTTTGAGGGGCCTCATGGTCAGCCTGTGGGGCCACATGTTCAGGCAGGTGGGAGTGGTCTCAGGTTTGAAGGGCCACATATCCAGCCAGGAGTTGGTCCCAGATTTGATGGACCTTCAGTTCAGACTGGGAGTGGACTTAGGTTTGAAGGTCCTCTAGGTCAAACTGGTCCAAGGTTTGATGGCTGCCATTCATCCAGATTTGATGGTCAACCTGGCCAGCTGTCTCTCTTGCAAAGATTTGAAGGATTACATGGACAACCTGGCCCACGATTTGAAAGGGCACCAGGTCAGCAAACACCTCCTCGGTTTGAGGGACTGCCTGGTCAACAGGCACGATTTGATACAGCAATACCTCAAAGATTTGATGGCCCTCAACACCAGGCTTCGAGGTTTGACATGCCTCTTGGTCTCCAAGGTCCAAGGTTTGAAAATGTAGCAAATCATCCTGCCTCCAGACTAGAAACATCACCTTATGGGCAAACTGGTCCATACAGTGAACATCCCAATCAGACCTACAATGGACCATCCCATGGTATGCAATTCCAGAGACCTGAAATGTTTGATGGCTCTCAAGGACCAAATTTTAATGGGCCAGTTGGCCCTACAGCACAGAACTACCCCAGTCTGCTCAACAGAGCATCTGGACATTACTTTGATGACAAGAATCTTCAGGGTCCTCAATATGGAAACTTCAGTAATATGCCCAATTCAATGTCAGTAGGAAATGCTCAGCAACCACATCAGGTAAGAACTTGTCTAAATAAGCCGTTTTGTCTATCGAGAAAGTGTTACAGGTTTCTTCTCTACATATCCCCAAAACATGTTTTTGTTAGAGATTAGAAGACCTCTAATCAATAGGTGGTTTCAAAATAAAAATATGCTTTAATTCCTATATATCGGTAATTTTCTGTAGATTACGTAACTATTTTAAAGGAAAATTTTGGACTTCGCTTGTCGCGTTGTTCAGAGAAGCAATCTTGTTTGTTTTAAACAAGATCTTAGATAAATGTAAACATTTCCTTTTTTTTTTTAAAGATCTGCTGAGTTTACCATTAAAAGTATAACTTGATAAAAATAAGGTTCTTTTTTCCTACTGCCTAGCTAAATGGAAAGATAAATGAGAGTTTTATAAATTGTTATTGAGAACATTTTAATACAAAGCAGGGAGCATACCTGTACCTTTAGTTTAGATCAGCGTTTCTCATCCCATGGGTCATGACCCAAAAGTGGGGTCACAAGAATATATGAAAGGGTGGCGAACGAACTTGAAAAATGGATTCTCCTTTAAAGGAGAAAACTGTGGGAAACGGTGGCTTTTCCCTTGCACGTTGACAGTTCTAGCTTGCAAGGATCTGTTTGGGACACCTCATGCCCTCACCCCCACCTACTGGGCGGCTGGGAGCAGGCTGCAGTGGGTCCAGAGTGAGGGGCACTGGGTTGGGACTGGCCATTGAAGTTTACAGATTGGTCCTGGTACAGAAAATGGTTGAGAACCACTGCTTTAGATCATAAGCATTGAGCATAGACTGGTTTAGCTACCCCATTTGGAGCTGTAAAAGTTAGTTGCAGCTGTCACAATGGAGTTAAATTTTTGGGAAATAAGTTTTGTTGGGTGACAGCTGTCAGTTTAGGTGACATGGTTCATTAAGTGTCCATATCAATGACTCTTTGAGAGAGATTCCCTTCTTTAGACTGTTACGGGGGATGTGAAAAATTAAATGATTGTTTAACTGATAAGCCCAGTGATAACTAGTTAAGCTTATTGTTTGCAGGCGACACGGCACGGTCTGGCATGGAAGGGGGTGGGGGATGAGAAACCACATGGTGTCCCGGCAGGTGGGTGGCAGGGCAGGATTAATACCCCCCTCACCTATGAGGTTAAAAAAGAAAAGGCTGGGCAGCCTAATAATAATTAGCTGCTCATTCCCAAGTGTTCTCCCTTCCAGCCTGCTGCTTCCTGAGTATGCTGGTATGCTGCCTGGTGGGCCTTGCAACCACCTCCTTTCCCCCCTTCTCTACCCCCTCCCCAAGGGCTTGGCTCCAAGCAGCAAGCATGTTTGAGCTGCTGTTATCGGTTGTTTAAACAATATAATTAGGCTAGGTTAAATAGATTTTTTTTAAAGGTATTTACATGCCTAGTTGTTACTAGGGTGGCCATTCGTTTGGTTTTATAGAGGACAGCTTGGTTTTCTGCTACTCTGTCCTATTGATATGAAAGCAGATGCCTTTGTCAGACTGGTGGAAGTCTGTGGAAGAAAATAGAGGACATAAAGGTGTCTGGTTTCATATCAATAGGACAGAGTAGCAGAAAACCTGGCTGTCTTGTATAAAACTGGATGAATGGCCCCCCTCATTGTTACCAAACATCAGTGTGAAAAAAAAAAAAAAAATCATTTTTTTGAATTGAACAGAAGCATTTTTTTTTCATACTAAAGGTAAAATGAATGTCATATGTAGAATTAACTAGTCTTGACAAATACTGGTCAAGTGTCCTCCTGCTATGCATAGGGATAAAGTTTTCAAGATGAACTACCAAGACAGCTGATTAAATTGGGAAGTGTATGCTGAAGGGACTTACATCGTTGCAGAAGACATTCTGTTAAAAGTGAATACCCAAAATACCCCTCCCCCTAAATCTGATTAATATTTTTATGTAATTTTTATACCATTTTGTTTTTTAGTTGAAAATCAGAATCGGTTTAATTCACACTGCCAGTCAGATTTCTTTGTAAGCTCCAAATAGCTTTGCTTTAGTGTCTAGTTTTGGCTAAAAAGGAGCAGTTTAAAAACCCCCAAAATGTTTAAGTACTGCATTAAGAAGCAAGTTCAAATCATGTAGGCTGGATGTCTAAAAAAAAAAAAAAAATAATTGCTCTTTAAATCAGTAAGCATAGAATTTTGTAATTTTTCTTAGTTTGTTTCTTTAGGCTTTGTAAATCAACATGCAGTTGATTGCATCTAGAAGTTGATAGTAAAATTTAAGAAACTTTTGTGAATCAAATAGCTGTGAAATCAATATTCAGCTGTTTACTTTTATAGGTTCCTGTTCTGTCCGTACCTTCTGGTCAACCTGTACCATATGGTCAAGGTCAACAGTATTTACCAGTACGTGGACAAAATCCTGGAGGTTTTCTTCAGAATCAAGCAGGTATTTCCAACAATTTTTTTTAAAGGAAACCGGACTTTTTAAACAAACTTGCATTTCTTTAAAGCACAAATGTGCTGTTGGAATTTTTAAACAAATGAGCTGCTGTGTTATTGGTTAATAATTTAACTGATATATAATTAGGTTAGTTTTTTTTAAAATTTTTTTTTTCTTGCTGTGGGCCATAGTATTTAAGAGCATAGTGTATTAGGCAGCTTGTTGCTTCCTGTTGTTAGTTTGGAACACCTGGGAAAAGGCTTACTGAATTGTTAATAAATACCTGTTCTGGACCTGAATTTGCTTTTGGAGATGTCCTGCCATCCATGCACAGGGTACAGCTGCTGTTAGTTTACATATCCAAAATTATTTGATATGTAATAGTGCTGAAAGTAAAATTCTGCCCTGCTTGTAGGAAAGCAGCATGGAGAAGCAATGGGTTGGCTTTATACCAAGTGCTAAAATGTGCAGTTCATTTCAGCACATCACATCACCTTACCAACAAAGTTTCCAACATGGCAGGAGTGAACTGTGCCATTAAATTGACTGTGCTTACAGTGTCTAGAGCTAGACTGAGAAAATAGATCATATTCTTTTAGAGCATCTATGCCTGAACAGTTCTTTGGATGGCAGGCTGAATAGCACTAAACCCCTTTCTACTCTGAGGAAGAGACTGCAAAGGGAAATTGACTAGCCAGGGCATCAGAAAAGCACAAAAAAAGAATAGAACTTGACTGAAAAGTAAAAACGTGCTGTGGGGAAAGGAATAGCAAAAGGCCTGTGATGCAGCTTGTGTATATGAGGGCCAACTTTTTATTTCTGTAATAGATGGCTTGCATAATAAATGTTCCGGGATAGGGGGCTAGCAACCTACAGCATGCGGGTTCGACCTGGCCTGTAAAGTCTCATACTACCTGCTGAGTTTCTATCTGTTACGGGGAGGATGTCATGTAGCTGTGCTGTGCTGTGTTGTGTTGTCCATCTCTTCTGCTGCATATCCTAAGCTTAGTCTTGTTGCAGAGGGGTTGGGAGTCTGGCAGCTAGCTGCTGGGAGTGGGGAGGGACAGAGACTTCCAGCCCACAGCTTATGGCCAAGTAACAAGCTGCTGGACGGTTGTGGACCTCTGCTTTAGATTTAGAATCTAATAGTTTTAAAGAAAATGTTAATGCAGTTAAAATAAGTAAAGATAATTGACATATATATTTTTTTAATGGATTGGAGATGTAACGTTGATATTCTGTTTTCTTCTGGACTTTTCCACTTTCATATCCAGATAATCACCTTGGTCAGCTTGATGTAAATGAGTTATTCTCTAAACTGGTTTCTACAGGAATCCTCAAATTGTCAAAAACTGATTCCACTTCAGCACGTATGTACAGCTTTTATGTTCTTATTCTCCTTTTTGATATAACTTTAGTACACAACTTCCAGTAAAAGTCAAGATAAAAAATGATCTAATTTTCTAGCTTAAAAGCTATTTTAATGCCTTGCATGCGTTATAAACCTTTAACTTTGTTCTATGGTCTTGTCATTTGGGAATGAATATCTTAGCACACCAAATAAAAATGTTAGTGACCTAATTTTAAAATTTATCCTGTCTTTTAGCTGATCAATATTGTCAGGTTATAACATGATTTATACTTCTGTGCCATTCCTTGTTAGCTTAACTACATATAATTTTTTTAGAATGTATTAATATTTGAAGTATCTTCAGCTTGTCTGTTATAGATTATTTTTTAAAATGAAGGGCCGGGATAAAGCACTTTATTACCACTTGCTGAAATTCAGATTGATATCTGCCTATTTAAATCTCACCTTTGTTTTAAGCTGTTTTAAGAAGAGGATTTGACTCAGTATTGCTTGTATTCAGCTTAGTCACCAAATAAACTAAATATTTAAATTAAGTAGGACAGTTTTAGAACGGTCCCTTACCAGTCGGACTATTTTCCATCTGTGCTTTCTAGAAGCAAATGAAACTGCTCCGCAGCCAGCTCCTGAGGAGGAGGAGGATGACCAAGACCAGAGTGAAGATCAAGATGTCCCAGACCTTACTAACTTCACAATTGAAGAATTGAAACAGTACGTATGCTCACGTGGTTTAATAATATAAGTAAGGGTAATCATGATATGCTGATATCTCAGTAGTTTAATTATTTCTGACCTAAGACATCTTCATAGAAGATTGTGAGATGCCACTTGAGTGTTTCACTAAGGCATACAATTATGAATTTCATTATTGTGTTCATTAATAAGAAAATATATACAAAGGGAGAACATTTTACATTTGAAATAGACATTTAATTTTTTTTTGAAAAGTTGATTTTTTTTGTTTGTTTCAACAAGTTTATAATGCTTACAGAAGTCTGTGGAACTAACTTATTTGAGCAAAGGTTTGCAAGGTTGGGCTCATTTACATTAGCTCATTGATGAGCTTCTTGAACCACTACATGTAAAATTGCTAATGTGGTAGTTCACCTTTCCTGAATGGATACCTCAGGAACCTCTTGCTGTTTGAATTAATTTCAAGTTGGTCACAGTCTTAAACACACTGGAAATCTGCTCCATCTTACACTGTTTTCTTCCCCATTTACTTTTAAAGTTTCAATCTTTTAACTCAAAAATGTTAAGACTTTCTAACTTTATCTTTGTAGGCGTTATGATAGCGTCATAAATCGACTGTACACTGGCATTCAGTGTTATTCTTGTGGAATGAGGTTCACCACTTCACAAACAGATGTTTATGCAGATCATTTAGACTGGCATTATCGACAAAATCGCACCGAAAAAGACGTTAGTAGAAAGGTTACTCACAGAAGGTGGTACTACAGTTTAACAGTAAGTATATACGGTAGTGTCTGTTTATCAGTGTCTTGCTAAAGAAAAGGCCAAATTCTGCATTCGCTTGCCTTCTGCATAGCTGTATTGAATAAATGTGTTAAACACTGAAGTTATGATTACTTAAGGCCTAAATATTAACTTGTCTTTTCCTCTTAGGATTGGATAGAATTTGAAGAAATAGCTGATTTGGAGGAGCGCGCAAAGAGCCAGTTTTTTGAAAAAGCACATGAAGAAGTTGTGTTGAAAACACAAGAAGCTGCTAAAGAGAAAGAGTTTCAGAGTGTACCTGCTGGACCAGCTGGAGCAGATGAGGTAAAGATCCATGTTTAAAGTGGCATTGATGGTGTGAATGACCTAATCTATGAAATATTTCAAGAACTTTGCTTTTTATTCCTAGGTATTTTAATGTATACCCTATACCATCCTAATAAATTTACTTTAGAAATGTACCTAGAAGTACTAAAATGTACTTAAGTCAGAGCATAAATTTCGGAGCATTATTTTCTAGGATTCTGTGATATAATTCCATGTAACAGCTATGCATGTGAAATGGGATGAATTGTTTAAGTAAATACATTGAAAGAGAGTTCCTTGTGGGACAAATTTAGAGCCCCTTAAAACATTTATATGCAATCCTCACTCAAAGAAGTCTCATAGCTAATAGGAGTCAGCTGGGTTGTAAGCCCCATCATGGGTGAGAACTAAGGGCCAGAGTCAAATTCTTCTTTTAATCATTGCACTCAGGAATTGCAGCACCTAGAAACTAGGCAAAATTAGTCGTCTGGCCTAGGATGATGGACGAATAAACATGGTTAGGCATCTCATAGTCGGAGAGAATGAGTTGTCTCTGAAGGCAGGTCAGAGCAGCTAAGTGCTCAACAAGGAGGTGCCACAGGCAGTGGTGGGTACATGGGGTGCATCTGAACTCCACTTCTCCAGAGTTTAAGGGCCAAGCCCAGGGTTGTACATGGCTGCCTCTGTCATCTCAAAATCCAGAATGTCAGTGGGGAAATGTCTAACTTTACATCAGTAGCAGTATTGAATTCAGGTGACAGCACAGTGAGCCCTGGAACTTTCATTCAGTTACAGCCAGTTACGGTGGTTGTTGCCACCTACTTTTTGCATAATAGTTTGGTGCAGTTGGCTAGGAACTGGGAGATGTGAACTATAGTCACCCCTGAACCTGAGGGGGAGGGTTCAAACAAACTTCTTTCATCTCCTATGAAGTGTCCTATTTACTGGGTTATACGGACACAAGCAGGTTGTGAGGGTACCTGACCCTTTTGGTTGGAACCAGGCCACTTTGGAGAAGAAGAATGTGGAGTAATAAAGAAAAGTGAGCGAGAGAGGGCCTGACTGCAGTGCTAGAGACGATCCCCAGGGAGCAGGGGCTGAAACCCAACCTTTTGTGTTGAGGCCAATCATTGGTTACAGAGGAACAAGCCTAGAATCAGGAGCCAAGTTTCTTCCTGCCAGTGCTACAGAATCAGTTGCTACTGCTTGCTTTCTTAGCTCCATGAATCTTTCAGTGTTGGCCCCCCAGTGGCAGAGCTTCAGTAAGAAGAATAGGGGTTGCCTCCACTCAGTCTGTTGTCTACAGCCTGATGGTTAGTCTGCCGTCCTGGGAAGTGAGAGATATGGATTTGAATCACCTCAGATAAAAGGGATCCTCATTTCCAGGGATCCTGCTTTTCTCTGATTTAAAAAAATCCCCAATTTTCAGTTTAAAAGAAGTAACCCCAAATCCACATTTTCATTTAAATGAAACACCACTAATATATTGATCTTTATATTAGCGGTGTTTCACTTTAATCACGGGAAAATGTGCATTTGGGGTTACTTTTTTTAAAACCAAAAATTGGGGATTTTTTTTAAATTGGAGAAAACCAGGATCCCTGCTCATCTCCCACTTCCTGGTTAAGTGTTATAATCCTGATTTATCTGGAACCTGTTGTGCTTTTAAAGATGGATGTCACCCCCCTCACCCCCCCCACCCCATGTTGGAGAGTGAAAGTCAGCGTGGATGCTGTGCCATTTACTTGAGCTCAGTTCTATTGTGGTCCAACAGGCTCTAGGCATGTTTTGTAAGTACTTAATAAATCCTGGGCTTAAGTGAAGTTTAGGTGTTTCTAGATTAGAGTTGGATCGCATTGGAATTTGGACAGGAATCAAGTCCCTTAGCCTCTCAAACTTCTTAGCTACTCAGAAAACTTAAGCGTAAGCCTCTAGGGAAATACTTAGGCTAAGGGGGAAGGCACGTGATGTTTCTAGGCACCTTAAGTAGGGCGTGGGGTTGATGTGGATTGTTTTGGGTGCTTAAAGGCAGACAAGTTGGGAGAATTCTTTTTTTAAATTTGTAAGACATAGTTATCTCTGCATGTAGAGAGCTGACATGAGTAATTTTTAGCAGACTGAATACGGCACCATTAAATTGAATGTGGAATCTGATTATCATGGCTTGCCTGCAGGGGCACTGTTGATAAAAGTAAAGTGAATTGCTGAAGGTTCACGGACAATGTGCATAAGCTGAACAATGTTAAACCTCTGAGAGAGAGCTCCCTTTCAGAGTAAAGTGGCCATAGATTGCTGTATGGTGATCTTGAAGCTATTTTGTTAACTGAATCAGTCTACTCGGGATTTAATGCACCTTAACCTAATTTCCATTGTCTGCCCACGTTTGGTAGATTGTCAGTTTTCTTGAGAGTCTCCCATTTAGCCAAGCTCTCAGTTTTTCCATTAATCTTTATTTTGCAAGTTGCACGTGAACAAATAATGATCCATTTCTATTAATAATGCAGTTCAAAAAATAATTTTATTTAGCATATTTGCTGTGATTGTTACGAAGTCCAATTTTCCTTAATTAACTGCAGTTATGTGCCTCCTTAGAAATTGTTAAGCACAAATAAAAGGTTTTAAATGCTTGTAAATTGTATTCTTTCTTGTAACTGTCATATTTTTTATAATCTTTCAGAGCTGTGAAATTTGTCAAGAGCAATTTGAACAATATTGGGATGAGGAAGAAGAAGAATGGCATCTAAAGAATGCCATTAGAGTAGATGAAAAGGTAATTTGAACACAATGCTGCATGCAGACACTTGGTCACTAAAAGCTAGGGAGCAGCTGTGGTTAAACAAAAATGTGCTAGAAGAGGGGTGGGTGAAGAGGGGAGAGTTCAGCCTTCTTGAAGGGTTCTGCTGCTGCTTTTTTGCCCCCATAGTATGCCAAAACATCAACCTCATGGGAACTCTTAAAGTGCTGGTACCTTGGCATAGAGATATTTGGCTTGCCCACCCATATCTTCAGCACTCGATGCTGCAGTGCCTTTAATATAGTATGGATATATGTGGACATGTAGTTACTGATTTAGTATTAAGTTATACCAGATTTAGAATTGCCAGCATAGATCAAACTTTCACATAACTTTTCCTAAACACGATGGAAGAATGTGGTCATCATTTATGTTGACCTCAGCCTTGTGTCTAATATATAAAAATGGGTTCAGAATGGCATACAAATATATTTGGTGGAAGCTATACCTTAATCATTTAAAGTATTTGTACCTACAGGCTGTGAGAGGGTGAGGTAGAAGTTGAGAAGTAATACATATGTCCAGAGCTTTGAATGACTTGCTTCTTGAAGTTACTGGCTCTAGCCTCATTCTCTCTCTTTAAGGCTCCCAAGTGAGGTGTTGCTCTCTTCTACCTTGGGGGTCTTCAAGAGGAGGCTGGACAGATATTTGGCTGTGGTGATATGACCAGCACCTGTTCCTGTCTGGGCAGGGGGTTGGACCTGATGATCTGTTTGGGTCCCTTCTGACCCTAAGCACTATGATTCTGTGATACTAAGGCTCAGAGCTGGTAGTTTTGGTGTGGGGTATGTGAAGTCTGATGTTAAATATTTGCAGGGGCATTCCATTTATTTTTTGTTAGAGGTAACATTTTTCTCCTCAAGTCATCTTTAGGCATTAGAAATCAGGCAGAGAAAAGGTGGGGAAGCCACAGGCCTGTGGTGTTTGGGTGTATAGTCAGACTACTCTGTTCGTACCCAGTACAACAGCTGCATAATGGGTATTTGTGAGCATTTACATGGTTTACTTGCTTTTTGTAGATTTACCATCCATCATGTTATGAAGATTACCAGAATGTAAGCACATCCTTATTTTTTTATATTTTTAAATATTTTATTGTGAACTTGTTTTGTATAGAGTCTTATGGCTTTGCAGTGGGCATGGGTGGCATGCTCTGAATACAACCGTTCTAATACCAATGACTAGACAAAGAACTGCTAACCTGGTAATGGCAAGTTTATAATTCAGAATTAGCTTAGGAAGCTTTTAGCTTATTTTAGCTGTGATATGGCATGTCAGCTTGCCATGTTAAATGCCATTTATACAGAAGCTAGAAACAGAAAATACAGGGCTTTTCTTATTGTACTGGCAGCAGGGTTTTTGTGTGTGAGGAGTCTGCTAAAGGGGGTAATGAAAGGCATGCTTTATGGTTACATATCACACTTATTCCTGTTGTGCATGCTATTTATTTATTTAGGGAGTATTTATTGTTTTAGGCTGTATTGTGATAGTACTGAAAACCATTCTGGTGAGAACCTTTGTAGTGTATGCATTTACTGCTTTCCCCACTCCCTCTAGTACTTTTAGGTTATAGGTGAAGACTATCAAAGTGGTGTGTTTTAAAATCCTATGTGGATTGTTAATTTTCATTTTACAGACATCGTCATTTGATTGCACGCCATCTCCCAGCAAGACCCCAGTAGAAAATCCATTAAATATTATGTTGAACATTGTCAAACAAGAAACAGAAGAGCCAGCCTGTAACAGCCCTACAGTTACAGAACCACCAGTGGACACACCTGCTGCCTGTACGGAAGAGAGCACACCTGCATCTATAGATATTAAAACAGAGCCTGAAGAGGTTGAATCAGTTTAAATAAACTGAGGTATGATTTTTTTTTTTTTTTTTTTTTTTTTTACAGAGCTGTTGTGTTAACTCTCGAAGGCATATACTTTTTATATGAAATAAAATGATCACCTGGGGCAGGGCCCCAGCTACTGTTTGGTTAATAAATACATTTTTGTATTTGAATTTCTTACTGCCTGCACAGTTTCAGGTGTCCATTGTGTGAAAGTTCTGTAGATGCGTGCAAATTTAATGGAATATGGAATTGTATATGTAAACAAAAATGTACAATTTTCACTTGTTGAAATGTAAATTATAAAATAAAAGATATTTTTGCTATATATGGAGTGTAATGTTTATGCACACCATCGAATGAAGACAGTGTACATTTTGTTTGGTTTAAGTGGATTTAAACAGAGACCTCAACTTAGACCTGTTGCTAAGTAGGATTTTGAAAAACAAAATAACTGAAAAGTTTTTTGGCTTCAGAGGAAGATTATCAAGGAAAGCAATTCAAAAACTTTCTCAAATAGCAACCCTAGACCTCTTTTCTTATTAAATGTAATTGAACAAATTTGCATACATACCCAGATATAAAGAGAGTAACTTAAAAGATAGTTCTGGAGTGGAGGGAGAGTTAACAAAACCGTGATTGATTGTGGACACAAGTGCCAGCAACCATTTGATTAATAAACCAGTATACTTAGTAGTCGGGACAGATTTTTTTTTTAATTATCTTTTTCCAAATAGTCAAGCACACAAAAAACATTTAGTACAACTGAAAAAATATTTTAAGTTACAGAAGAAGAAAATTAATGCTCATTTTGAAACATGGTTAACCTTTTTCCTTTGTTGGTTATGACTGGATTTAGATGGTAAACAGGAATACCATAAGATGTTAATATTTCTTACATGTAATAAATAGAATGAAGCATATCTGAGTGTGAATCTCTTTATTTCATGAGGAGCTCGGGGGAACTTGAAAGAGAATGTGCAAGTAAGACTGGGAATTGAAGTTGTGGATAGGAGAAATATTACTTAAATATTTATTACTTAATGAATTACTTGCTATGGAACATACAGAGTATGCTTCCAAAGCTGCTGAGATTATATTTAAAGGGGTTCATTTCACAAAGCCCTAAGAATTTCCCATATACTGGGGTGGTGGTTTGTGGGAGATGAATGTAACTTCAGTTCTCTGCTATCAGCTGTACTGGTGTTGCAGGTCAGTAAAACTGCTGCATGTCCCTTTCCCACCTCTGGACAACTGCTGGTTATGCAAAGCTGGATGAAAGACCTTCTGCAATTTATATAAGTCCTACTTCAGGTGTCCAAGTCCAAAATTATCCAAAAAACCCTGCCAAGGTGCCATCTAATTTTGACGGTACCTAAACTAACCAGGTTACTTGCATTTGAAGGTTAAGTGCCTGGAGTTCTGTATCTGTGTATGCTTGTAACTAACAGTCTGAGCAGTACAGTGCCTGTCTCTTACTAAAGTCACGATCAAGAAAGTAGATATTCTGCTCAAGTACTCCAAAGACTTGAAACGCATGCCAGCAGGACCAGCCTTCTCAGAAAGCAGTTGTGGTTGCCACTTCAGTTATAGAGTGGCTGGAGGAGGCGGCGGCAGTGGTGGTGTCGTCCTCCTTTTATAGAGTACTCTAGAGATCTGAGTGCTTAGCAGAAAGTTGGAAATGCCTTCAATTTTCCTTTCAGCCTGAGGAGGTTCAGATCCTCATCTTTCATGTCCTAGGATGGAAGGACATACCCTAACCAAATTTAAATCTCTTCTGCTTGGAGGCATTCTTCAATCCTCTTACGGAAGAAGCTATGCCACTGAAACAAAAGATACAAGATTTGTGGGGCTAGGAATACATACCTGGTTAGGGCATTGATATAGGGTGGAAAAACCCTCAACTTCAAGTACTGTTCATGTATTTTATCCAACAGTTGTTGGATAAAAACACTCCAGGCCTAATAAAAACCTAATGTCATACAGTAGCACAGCTTCAACAGGAGATTAGCCTCTGGGAGGTTGGAGCTTTCTTAAGCTACTGAGGCCTCCTACTTCTGTGCAAGTGTTTGAACCACTAGTTTATTATGTAAAAGGGGTGGCACATTTAAATTATGTAGTTAAATTTCTTCTTTAAATCCTTTAAAGAAGTATCTTCATATGTTGCAAGAGAAGTTTGGACTTTGAACTTGATTTGGTATGTCAAGAAGTAAATGATGACGGTTGTGAAAACCGTAATCTATACCTCTCTGGGTCATGGTTAGTGACCTGAAAGTTTTAAAAACAGGTTCACAACTCTTATCTTTCACTAGGACAGCAGTTCCCAATTTGGGTATGCAGACAACCTGTCAGTGGTACATGGCAGCAGCAGGCGGGGGTACTCAGGGCACTCATGCCTGGCTCTGATGCCTGGTGGAGTGTGGATCCCGCTAGCACTACACATCGTAGTGAAGGGCACAGCCTCTGTTAAGCTGTCAAGATCACCAATGTACCTGCACCCACGTGCAGCTCTTGCACTTGCTGGGCATGGGAAGGAAGCCCTGTGTGCTGGAGCTGGCTGCCTTCCCTGCTGGGGCTCCCCTGGGGGGTGTGGAAGGCATCTGGCTCCAGCATGCAGGGCTTCCCTCCCATGTCCAGCAAGTGGGGGTCTACAGGCTGCCCGGTGGAGGATATGCCACCTGCACTGGCCAGAGCCATGCCTCTGAGCACCCTGGTTGCAGCTATGCCATGTGGGGGGAGAGGGGAGTCTCCATAACCCCCCCCCTTCCTCCCACCACACTTGCACCCTGTCCCCACATGTACACAACTCCCCAACATACCCTATGCCCCTCACACAGCCACACCCCTTCACAAAGTCTCTCCCTTTCCCCCCCTCCCCCCCACACCCTGCAATACACCCCTCCACATGGGACTTAAGCTTGTATTGTTTTAAATTGGTGGTGCCTGATCTGTTAGATTTTGGGTATCGCTGCACTAAGGATATTGACTGGGCACCTCTCTGTGAAAATGAAAACCAATCTGTTGGTCCTGCTTGAGTAAATCGAGCATGTTTTGTGGCACCATAGGTACAAGACAGCGTACATCATAGTGTCCACATTCTTGATAGCAGCTCGTTCTGCTTTCACTACCTACTCTGTTTGGAGCTAGCTTTTACAATTTAGAAGTAATAAACTGAACTTAATCCCACAAAGTTTTGCTAGGAGATGAGGTTAGATTATGTAGGCCAGTTTGGAAAGGGATGTTCCCGCCTCAGGCAGGGGCTTAGATTAGATGACCTCTGGAGGTCTGCTCCTGCCCCTCTTCTCCATGATTTCTACCACAGTTCCAGATTTCGAACAGCCCTGCTGCCCTGCCAGCCTCTTTCATGGTGCTTCAACCGCAGCTGCCGCATGCATTCGGGTGCCCGGCCCGTGTGTTATGACCCAAGAGTGGGTCACAAGAATATATCAAAACTTTAAAAATGGAGTCTCCTTTAAAGGAGAGAAACATGGGAAGCGGTGGTGGTGCTTCCTTTGCAGGCAGGTGGCTGGCAGAGCTCCAGCCTGCCTGGGGCTGCTTGGTGGGGCAGGGGGCTTGCGGCAGCGGGCTGTGAGTGAATGGCACTGGGTCAGGGCTGGCCACCGCTGTCTACAGAAATGGGGTTGAGAACCACTGCAACACAAATACCACAAGCGGGTCTGCCAGAGATGAACCAGCCTCCCAGAGACACCCCCACCCCCCACTGCTTTGGGGAGAGAGGCATGAACAGGGCCCTGCTGGGCTGGGAAGGAGGAAGAGAGGCAGCTAGGTGGAGAGGGAGGGAGGGAGGGGTGTGTGTGTGTGTGTGTGGGCAGCTAGGTGGAGAGGGAGGGAGGGAGGGAGAGAGTGTGTGTGTGTGTGTGTGTGGGCAGCTAGGTGGAGAGGGAGGGAGGGAGGGAGAGAGTGTGTGTGTGTGTGTGTGTGGGCAGCTAGGTGGAGAGGGAGGGAGGGAGGGAGAGAGTGTGTGTGTGTGTGTGTGTGGGCAGCTAGGTGGAGAGGGAGGGAGGGAGGGAGAGAGTGTGTGTGTGTGTGTGTGTGGGCAGCTAGGTGGAGAGGGAGGGAGGGAGGGAGAGAGTGTGTGTGTGTGTGTGTGTGGGCAGCTAGGTGGAGAGGGAGGGAGGGAGGGAGAGAGTGTGTGTGTGTGTGTGTGTGGGCAGCTAGGTGGAGAGGGAGGGAGGGAGGGAGAGAGTGTGTGTGTGTGTGTGTGTGGGCAGCTAGGTGGAGAGGGAGGGAGGGAGGGAGAGAGTGTGTGTGTGTGTGTGTGTGGGCAGCTAGGTGGAGAGGGAGGGAGGGAGGGAGAGAGTGTGTGTGTGTGTGTGTGTGGGCAGCTAGGTGGAGAGGGAGGGAGGGAGGGAGTGTGTGTGTGTGTGTGTGTGTGTGTGTACACAGATGCAGACAGATGCCTATACACACACAGCCGTGTACACACCCCACCCCCATAGCTATCTATCTATCCATGGGCACAGCCCACATGCCGCGCGCGGCAGCGTACCATACATAACTGCCAGCGGAACGCGCGATGCTCTTGCGCCCCCCCGCCGCCGGAAGCGCGTCCCGTGTCCATAGCAACCCGGCAGCCGCAGCAGGAGGAAGGCCCCACCGCCATGGCGCCGCCCGGTGAGACCCCCCACCCCCGCCCTCCCTCGTCCCCGCCTCCCGCGGGAGCCTCAGGGATCATCACTGCGGGAGCACGGGGGAGCGCCTGCGTCACCCGGCACTCAGAGCGCGTCATCCAGCGGTGCCGTGACGTTAGCGCGTGTGACGACACCGCCCGGCCTGGCTGTTGGGTGGGGGAGGCGCTTCCTTGAGCTGCTCCCTCCCTTGGGTTGGGTTTTGAATGACAAGCAGGGGGCCTGGTTTGCTGTGATTTAAAAATAAATAAATAAAAATCAGCAATTTCCAGTAATCCCAAATTCACATTTTTCTGTGATTACAATGAAACCCCACTAATATACATCTAGAGAGATTATATCTATATTAGTGGGGTTTCACTGTAATCACGGGAAAATGTGGATCTAAATTAGCGGTGTTTATTATACTAGTGGTGTTATATAGATATAGATTTAGTATATTAGTGGTGTTATATATTATATAGATAATGTAATATATTATCTATATATTTGGTATATCTGCAGTGTTATATTGGTATATGTTAGCAGGGTTTCATTTTAATCATGGAAAACTGTGTATATTAGATATATATTTAGTATATTAGTGGTTTTTTTTATATATATAATATATATATAAAAGATTATTTATATATTTAGTATATTAGCGGTGTTATATAGATATATATTGGTGGGGTTTCATTTTAATCAGAAAAATGTAGATACATATTAGCGGTGTTTTATTATACTATACTAGTGTTATATAGAGGTGTATTAGATATATATTCAGTATATTAGTAGTGTTATATAGGTATCAGTGGTGTTTCATTTTAATCATCGAAAAATGTGGATATATATTGGTGTTTTATTATACTAGTAGTGTTACATTATATAGATATATATAGTATAGATAATATAATATTATATATTTAGTATATTAGTAGTGTTATATTATAGATATGTATTAGTGGTGTTTAATTTCTAGTCAGGGAAAAATGTGCATATATGTTAGTGGTTTTTTATTATACTGGTGGTGTTATACAAATATATTATCTAGATAATATAATATATATTTAGTATATTAGTAGTGTTATATGGATATGTATTATTGGTGTTTCATTTTAATCACAAAAAATGTGCATATATATTAGTGGTCTTTTATTATACTAGTGTAATATTATATAGATAATATAATATATTAGATTAGATATATGTCTAGTATATTAGTGGTGTTATAGAGATGTATATTAGTGGCATTTCATTTTAATCAGGGAAAAATGTGGATTTGGGGTTACTTTTTTTTAAACCAAAAATTGGAGATTTTTTTCAATCTGCGAAAACCGGGATCCCTGATTATAAGGATGAAATTCACCGAACCAGTTGGCCAGCCCAGCCCCATCCCAGCTGTTCCTGCATTGCAGGGATGGGAATAAACCCACTGCTCAGTTCAGGTCTTCCTTTCTATATTTTGTTTGAATCCCTTATTGACGCTGTTACCTACGTGGGATGTTGTTTTCACCACATTTGTTCCTCCAGGCGAACGGCTGCTTTTTAAGGAAGAGAAATGGGTGGCTGTGTTCTGCCCCAGGGGCTGCCTCAGTGCTGTCGCTGGGGAGCTCAGGGCAGTGTGAGCTCCTCTGTCCCAGCCCCAGCACGGGGAGGCAGGAAGGAAGTACGGAGGTCCTTGGCGTGTGGACAGCCTTGTAAAGTGGGGATCTCCAGATAGCGACGATTATAAAGTTACTATAAAGACTTCGTAGGGGGTCAGGATGCCACATTCACCACGTTTGCCAGCTCTCACTGCATTTTTTCTGGTGGAAAGGATGATTTTAATCCAAACTCGCTGCATTAGTCAGTGCACTAACATGCCTGTTTAACATAATGGGCCAAATTGTCAGCTGAGGTAAATCAATGTAGTTCCTCTGAAGCCTGTTGGCTCGCTTGATATAGTGAGAGACAACTCTTCTATGGGGAAATTCTGCCTTTTCAACACTGTCTAAATAAATACCCAACAGCTAACCAATCAACCCAAAAGAACCAACATCCCCCTTTAAATTCCTTTGGATCGTGGATTCATAGGTTCATAGACGTAGGGTCAGAGGGGACCTGAGCAGATCATCAAGTCTGACCCCCTGCCCTGGGCAGGAATGAATACTGGGCTCATATGAGTCCCTGGTAAGTTTAAGCTCATATGACCCCAGCTAGGTAATTATCAAGCCTCCTTTTAAAGACCCCTAAGGTAGGAGCCAGCACCACTTCCCTTGGCAGCTGGTTCCAGATCCTAGCCGCCCTGACTGTGAAGTCGTGCCTCCAGATGTCTAGCCTGAACCCACTCTCAATCAACTTGTAGCCGTTGTTCCTTATTACTCTGGGAGGTGCTCAGTGGAACAGGGTCTCACCCAATCCCCTCTGGTTCCCCCTGGTAAGATTATAGATGGCCACCAGATCCCCTCTCAGCCTTCTCCCGTGGAGGCTGAACAGGTTCAGGTCCTGTAGCCTCTCCTTGTAGGACCTTCCCTGCTGCCCCCATGATGCGAGTGGCCCTCCTCTGGACCCTCTCCATGTTGTCCACATCCCTCCTGAAGTGCGGTGCCCAGAACTGGACGCAGTACTCCAGCTGCGGCCTGACCAGTGCCACATAGAGGGGGAGGATCACCTCCTTGGACCTGCTCATGATGCATCAGTGGATACATGACAAGACGCGATTAGCTTTCCTGGCCGTGTCCTCACATTGGCGGCCCATGTTAATTTTGGAATCGATAATGACTCCAAGATCCCTTTCTGCCACTGTGCTTTCAAGATGGGAGTTCCCCAGCCTGTAGGTATGGTGCTGGTTCTTTCTGCCCAAGTGCAGTACCCTGCACTTGTCAGTATTGAATCCCATCCTATTCTCATTCACCCACCCCTGTAACCTGTCCAGGTCCAGTTGTATCCTGTCCCTTCCTTCTAGCATGCCCACCTCACCCCAAATCTTGGTGTCGTCAGTGAATTTGAACAGGGTGCTTTTCACCCCCTCTCCACCCCAAGTTGCTAATAAAGAAATTGAACAGTGCGGGCCCGAGGACCAAGCCCTGGGGGACTCCACTGCCCACATGCCTCCAGGTCGAATATGACCCATCCACCACCACTCTCTGGGTGTGGCCCCTTAGCTAATTTGCGACCCATCTGACTGTGTAGGCATCAATGCTTGTCACCTAGGTTTTTAGTGCGAATGGGGTGGGAGACCGTGTCAAAGGCCTTCCTGAAGTCTGGAAAGACTACATCCACTGCGACACCTGCGTCCAATCCTTTTGTGACCTGATTGTAGAAGGCAATCAGGTTGGTCTGACAGGACCTGCCCCTAATGAACCCATGCTAGTTGCCTTTGAGCATCATCCCGCCTGCTGGTCCCTCACAGATGTGCTCCTGGATAATTTTCTCAAAGAGCTTCCCCAGGACCAAAGTAAGACTAACCGGCCTATAGTTGCCTCCGTCCTCCCTCCTCCCTTTTTTGAAAATGGGACCACATTGGCCTTCTTCCAGTCTTCTGGCACCTGGCGAGAGCACCACGAGCGCTCATAAAGCTGTGCCAGGGGCCCTGTGATGTCCCCTGCCAATTCCCTCAACACCCTGGGGTGGAGAGCATCTGGACCTGCCGATCTGAACATGTCCAGCCCCTCCAGAAGTTTCCTAACTCAGTCCTCCCTGACCCTAGGCCTGGCAGAGTCTCTCCTGAGTCCATCCTGAATCCTGGTAGGGGAGATGTCCTGGTCCCTGCTCAGAAAAATGGAGGGAAAGAATTTGTTAAAAAGGTCTGCTTTTTCATCTGGTGCAACCACCTCATCACTTCCATAGGGACCTTGGCTGACATCAGGCCCAACTGGATGGCCAGCATTCTGAAAAATACCATCAATATTGTCAGGATAAGATACTGATTTTTACATTGATCCTTACTACTGCAAAAGGTCAGACCCAAGATAGGTTCTGCACGTCAGCTTCCTCTGATTCAGTTCATATTTTAAATCCCCACAGTGTCACTGAAGTGGCTAATGGCCTTTTTTTATTTTTCAATAGCTGTCAAGAAGAAACAAAATTATGCTAGCATACATGAGGCAGTGAAAACCGGTGATGTAGAGCAGCTTGCATCAATGGTAAAAAGTGGAACCAACATTAATGAAGTGGATTTAGTCTATAAATTTACACCTTTGCACTGTGCGGCACACTCTGGAAGTCTGGAGGTAAAATATTTTCTTAGATCTGGCCTGCAACAAGGTTCTTGTAGATCAGTGTAATCTTTCTTAGGTTAGGAGAGAGACCGAACCGAACATTGCAACTTCATACTGTTTGAGCTAAAAAATAATCTGTCTTTTTATTATTTAATGACTTGAGCACAAAAAGGATAGGAATCGATAGTGATGAGCGTACAGTTTAACATTCAGCATATTATACCATGTAGAAATCAAAAGGATTATTCTTATTTTTAGTTATCTAGGTTTTTTTATTGTGCCTTTTCCAAGCCCTATGCATGTCACGCATTCAGTGTTGCAAGATTTTACAAACTATATCACTTTTTCCTAACCTCAGCATTATAGCGTCACAGTTTCCCTGTATTCCTCAAGCAGCCCTGTTCTTATTAACCGTGTTTTGTCCTCCTCTTCACTCAGCAAGGGCCTGGTGAAATGTGTGAAATTTGTACTGTGTTCTAACAATCAACAAATCTGGGCTATATTGAAACGAGGCGGGTAAATTGAAAAGACACTGATTCAGATAGAGCAGTGGTATTTAACCTGTAGCCTGGGGACAGATCTGGTTTGTGAGGGCATGTCATCTGCCCACAGGGCTTCCCCACAGGTCTGGAAATTTAGCAGTGGAGGAGCAGTGGCAGCTTTGCTGCCTCTGCTGCCAAATTTCTGGACCTGTGGGCAGTTCCCAGGCATTAGGTTACGCCAGTGTTGGGGAGTCACTGTGGCTGGATCCAGTGCATGGGATCAGGTGGGTATGCAGTGGATCTGGTGCATGAGGCCAGATCAGCATCACACCTCTGGACTGACCCCTTACGCTGACCTCATGCTTGGTCCAGCCCACAGACCAACATTGTGCCACTCTGGGCCAAAAGGTCGAGCACCATTGCAGTAGCATGTATCCTGCCACCCATCCCATCCCTCCATACCAATGGAATGTGAGTTTGAATGCATCAGGCAATTGCAGCTTCCAGATCCTCCTACAGGGAGATGGTAGCAGCGTGATAGGACTCTAGCCATTTAGATTTGTATAGGTTTCAATCAAAACTTTTTGCATTTACCCAGAAATATTTGCCAGTTGCTGCAGTAAGTGCTATGAAATGAAAATCTAGCTTGCCATATTTTGAACGAGCTGCAGTGTTCTGCTGTAGCAATCTAACCAGGAAGTAATAAAGACACAGATAAACATGCCAACTCTATGTCCCAAAGGCAAGGAAGCAAACTTCTTCCTAATTGCAGGTATTGAGCATGTAGCTGCTGTTAGCTCATGTGGAAGCTGTCAGAGAGGTAAGAGGACAACCCCATTGTGAACTTTAGAAACATTTCCCATATGGCCTAGTTCTCTAACTTATGCCTTTTTTTCCTAATAATTCCTACACTGGGGTTATGTTTGAGTTGAGTCTCATTTAGCTACGTCTCACCAATGCCTCATTCATTCATGGGGACAGTGGAGGAACTAGTGCTGTAGATTAGGCAAAATTGCTGCTCTAGAAAATGTAGTACATTAAGCAAAGGGAGTTTTAACAAATGCTTAAGTTTTCTCTGAACATTGCATGGGAGCTGCAGGAAGTAGCCTTCAACCTCAACACATTTTTAAAAGTGCGGCTTGGTCTTGAGGGGGCAGGATAAGAGAAGGGGATCCAGGAAACCTAACAAATTAAAGGCCAATAAAGGTTAATCTTTTTTTTTCTCATGACAAACATGGTCAGAATTAAAGAGAAGGATGTTTGTTTCCTCTCTTTTTAACATACTTTCCACTTTTAATAGGAGAAAAAATATAAATGCCCATATGAACTCCTTTTGAAACTTCAGTTTACATTAAATAAGCCAACACTAGGTTCTGAATTTGTAGGTTGTTGGAGAATTTCCTGAGCAGATGAAGACATGAAGCTGCATAGTTCATCTGTAGGTTCCTACTGGATCTGTTCTACTACAGAAATAGTCCCTTCAGAATATTCTGTTAATACTTAAAGCATCAGTCAGTAAGTTGTTATGAAAATGGCATTTTAATTGCATACCAGCTCCATGACAACATCCTATATTTAAGATAGACGTGAATGTCTTTGCCTTTGTTTTGGTTGGTAGTGTCTTCACTGGCTGCTGTGGCATGGAGCTAATATAACAGACACAACTATCAGAGGCTGGACAGCAGCTCACCTTGCCGCTATCAGAGGCCAAGATGCTTGCATGCAGGTAAGTATAGTTATCTGCCATCAACCAAAAGTCAATACAACAGATTGTCTGCTGCTGTAATGGCCATAGCTCCATTGTGGCGGGATCATCTATGACATTTTACAGGAGCTGAGGGTGTGCTCCAGTGGTCTGAAAACAAAAGCCACCATGAGTGGGATTTGCATAAAGGATCAGGATGCCAAGTTGACATCCAGTTTCCTTATGCAGCTTAATAGTTGCAGCTTAGTCTCTTCAGAATTATAGGTATGTACAATTAACAAAAAGTCTTTGGGAGGCATTTTATCTCTGCTTTAATTATTGCTAATTATAGGTATTCTGGTATGGCTTGTAATGTCAGTCATGGACCAGGACACATTGTCCAAGGCCCTGTGCAAACGCAGTATGTAAGGATGATCCTTACTCCAAGAAACTTACAATCTAAGTTAAAGACAAGAAGCAACAAGTGGGTACAACCTGGACAGATGGAGGAACACGCTATACTGATTATAGTGTGGAAGAGTTTATTGATGCTGTTTCAAGTTCTCCTTCCTTCTTCATAAATACACCTTTAAAGTAATCCTCCTAGGCAACTCTTTCTTTTTAATATTGTAAAGTGAATTTAAAATTTTTGCATTTCTTTTAAGCTTTAGGCAGGGTGGAGATTCACCTTATAGACTAACTAAATCAGAGACACATAAGCTTTTGTGAGTTTGAGCTCACTTCATCAGATGCTGTGGAAGGACATAGATGGATCTCTGATTTAATTAGTCTGTGGATAGGAAAAGAAGTTGCATTTGTCCCTGGACAAGTTGTGTTATACAAGTAGACTTTTTGCCTATTGCTTTTGAAGCTTATGTATTTTCTTGAATTTTGCATCATCTTAAGACACTATTTTGTATTGCTTTGTAGCTTGACGTAAGTGCTCGACCTTTGTATGCTGCATGTGTGAGAGAATGGGTGAGAGCATGTTTGTGGAAAAGGAAAATACCAGCTGATGACTGGCTGAAGAATGCAGACAGAAAACCAAAACAAGAAGAATCCGCCCCAGAACAGTGAGAGAACAACGGCAATTGATCTTCAAGGAAGAACACGATGATAACACAGCAAAAGCCCAAAGGACTGGGTGAATTGACAAGACTATAAAAGATGGGGCGAGATGCATCGATTTTGGGTGTTGTTTTGCATGTCATCCTGGAGCATTGGTTTGTCTGATGAGATGGACGGGTAGGAGCCCAGCTCCTTCTTGTGATCAACTTGGGTGGTCCCTAAGTTGATCCAAGCACTGATAAGACTGGTAACATATACCAGTGAAGAACAGAAATTGGGGTATGAATGTGGTGTGTATGTGTGCATTAAGTGCTAAATCAATAAACGCGGCATCTTGCCTTATTCTCCTTCATAAGATCTTGCTTGTGATTTGAGCAATTGGCAATTTGTGTAACAGTTGTGCCTGTGTTTGTCCCAGAACAGAAATATCCCAGGATTGATGCATGCACATCTGGCCCTTCTCATCAGAGTTTAGCGAGTGGCTGAATTCACTGCTGCTTTTCTGCCATTGATTCAGTTGTGCAGTCCTGGGACAGTGGTTCAGATGCACTTTGTGATGTCGTGGGATAAACTTAGTACATCTTATCCTGTGAACCTTTTTAGAATTTATCCCAGGACAATGGACATGGACATCTGAATCATCACATTTGGTCATGGGATAAAATGGTTTAATCCTGAGACAAATACTATGTCTGTTTGTAAAGCGCATCTCTACCTGGCCTTGCGCCTGGCTTCAGACTAACATATCTAACTGCTCTCTACTTTTAGGCTTTAGTTATAAATGGAGCAAATCTAGAAGCTCAAGATGACAAAGGACGTACTCCATCACACCTAGCTGCAGCTCATGGTCAGTCGTACACGTTACAGACGATTCTCCGGAATGGAGTGGTAAGGCAATTTTATCTCCCAAGAGGAACTCTTAATCTTAAGACAGTGTAGACTTCAGTTATATCATCAGAGCTTCCTAGAACAGAACCAAATTCTGGGATCCTTTGCAAACAAAATTCCTGTTAGTTTTTTAAATGGATTTGGGATTGTAAGGTTTGATCTGTAGTTCAGCAGTTGTTTGTGAGAGTTTATTTTAACTTAAGGTCTAGTTATTAATTGTGAGACATAACAAAAGTTTTCAGTGAATTTTAAGAGAATCAGTAGATGGTGGTATCACTAGAGGGAGATCAGAAGCTTGGGTGATAAAAATCTTTTTCAATCGTAGAAAATTTTAGCTTTAAAATACAGATGTAAGCACCAACATATACTAAGCAACAAAAACATGGCCAGAACATTCCTAGTATGTATGTTTATACATGAATTATTGAAATAAATAAAACACGAAGAAGGATGTCTGTCCTCCAGCAGCAATTACGTTCATAGTAGCATCAATATTTCAATCAAATAAAGAAGTTATGTATTTTTTTTCCTGGTTCTTTTGGTTTGATTTAAATTAGGTTTGTCCAACTGGTGGCCCTTGGGTTGCATGTAGGGTTGAAACCTGCAGCCCCCAGGCTGTCTCTATCCACCACTCCTCTTATCACTCCAGGTGCTCCCCATCTCTTCCCTGGCTTTCACTTCCTGTCCCCATTCCACGGGGTGTAGCAAGGCAGGGCAACACAGGTCAGTGTAGAGCCTGCAGCCAAGGAAGTAAGGGGGGCTGCTCATTCACATGGTGCTGGGGGAGCTTGCAGCCAGAGGGGTGAGGGGTCCATGGCCTCTGCTGGTGAAGCCCCTGTGTTGTATGGTCTCCAGCCACTAAGCTGGATAGCCCTGATTTAAATAATTAAGACAATATGAATACCTAGTTGCTATTCCAGAGTTAATCTGGGCTGTACAAGTTCTTCAACTGACACATGAATGAACTAAGTGAATGAACCTACTTCTTTTATTCTAGGATGTTAATGTTTCAGATAAGAATGATTGGAAGCCAATTCATTATGCTGCTTTTCATGGCCGCTTGGGTTGTTTGCAGCTTCTTGTCAGATGGGGAGCTAGTATAGATGACGTGGATGACAATGGAAATCTTCCAGGTACATCAGGGAAATACTATGTTGCCCTGACATTTGGGTTTCAGTTGCTATATTATGTGATTGTTTAACAAATGACAAGTAGTAACATTTGCTGACTGATTCCACATAATTGCCACAGTTCTGTAATTTTGTAAAGGAAAGAGACATTTATGTTATCTACAACACTGCTGTGTGTTTAACATTGGAAAATGCTGACTCTTACAATAGTAAATCTTGCATCTATACTAGATGTGCCCTACGACATGTTTTCATTCACATGTGAGATATATGTTGGGCAATTTTAACAGTAGGGGGTGTTACCAGCCCCACCTATAAAGTAACAATATCTAACATAAATAACATGTATGTTCAGTGCCTGTGGTATTTCAGCTTCAGCTTCATCTTGGGTAGCTCTATAATTCCTTGGGTGAAATCCACTTTCTACCAAAGTCAAAGGGAAAACTCCTGTTGACTTCAGCGCATTCAGGATTTCATCTCCTTGAATTCCAGCCTTATGCAGCAGGCATTTCTGGCACTGGAAGACCCTGCTGTGGGGCCAATATATGTGACTATCTAGAGCAATGGTTCTTAAAAGCTATGGACTTGAAACACCCCTCACTGGACTTGAGGCACCCCTCCATAATTTCTGTGAATTGGGTAGCACCCAATTTCAAAAATTAATTTATATGTTACAATGCTTGTCTCCTTGGAGAGGGCTGGGCAGTAGAGGTAGGGGCTCAACCAGGCAGGGACAAGCTTGAGCCTCTGTTTATATGCTTATCTCTTCACACCTCACAGTAGCCTTCAAAGGATCTGGAGGTACCCCAGGGTGTCATGGTACCCTGGTTGAGAATCACTGGTCTAGAGTTTTCCTGGACTGGGAGACTGGGCAGTTTCTTACTTATATGAAGTACATTAGTGCTACTTGCTCTGATTATATCTAGCTATTATAAGGATAATAGAATTCTTAATGGGAGAGAAACTAATTATCTTTCCAGTAATGTACAACAAAATATTCCATCTTTTTGCCAGTAGTATATGAACCAAATTATGCAGAGTATTTTCATGGAATTGTATTACCTAATTAATACGTATGTATTTGACACCGAGTCCCTCATCCACATTTCCCACTCATGGGAATAGCAAATACTACTGTTTATAAAGCAATGAACATATGTATTATACCTCTGTAGCTCATTTCATTATGAATCGCTGAACCTTTTAAACATTAAACACCTAAGCTTCACGGTATCCTGAAATATCGGTAAAGTAACGGTTCAGTTACCTTATCTATATGGATAGACCATAGTAGTTTCACATAGCAATACTACATGACCTTTTAGGAGAGAAACAAGTAGAAATTCTGTAAACAGTGAAACTTGGGGAAAGTTGAGAAGCAAAGGATAATGACTTACCTCCTTCAGATGATTGCTCATCCACAGGTCTCAGAGGGTGCTTCTACATGCGATGCTGCTATGCAGTAACTGGAGTTAGAAGCATAGAATCATAGAATCAATGAGTCGGAAGGGACCTAGACAGATCATTGAGTCCGACCCCCTGCCATGGGCAGGAATGAGCACTGGGGATGGGAGGGGTAATAAGACCCCAGCCAGGTGCCTCTCCAGTCTCCTCTTGAAGATTTCCAGGGAAGGTGAGAGCACCACCTCTCTGGGAAGCCTATTCCAGGCTCTGGCCACCCTTACAGTGAAGTAGTTCTTCCTATATCTAACCTAAACCTATCCTCCCTCAGCTTGTGGCCATTGTTCCTGGTGACTCCAAGGGGGGCCCTGGTGAACAGACTTTCCCTGAGTCCCTGCTGGTGGCCCCTGATAAGGTCATAGGCAGCCACAAGATCCCCCCTCAGTCTCCTCTTGCGGAGACTGAAGAGATTTAGGTCCCTCAGCCTCTTCTCATAGGGCTGGCCACGGAGGCCCCCAACCATATGAGTGGCCCTTCTCTGGACCTTCTCCAGTTACTGGGTAGTGGGTGTGTCTACATGAGATACTTATGGTACATTAACCTAATAACACTGTGCAGTAGTGTGGCGGTTAAAAACCGTGCTAATAGCCTATTACACAGTGTTATTAGGCTAATGAGCAGTAAGCATTACAAAATAACCATGCACTGGTGCTACTGCACAATAACTCTAGTTACTGCACATTTAGTTAGTATTTCATTAAACAAGTACTAAACTAAAAGCACAGTAATTAAGGAGCATTACTGAATGTGTAGACATACCCAGTAGCATCGGTGAACATGCTTAGGTGACACTGTGCAGTAGTGTATTAGCACTGTCCATGCTGTGATGTGCTACTCTGCAGTATTTTCCAGCTACGGTGTAGCTTGCGTCTTGTGAGGATGCACCCAGAGTACAGTACAAAAGTGTAAATGTCATTATCCCCCCTTGTATAGATGGGAAACAGGCATGGAGGGGTGAAGTGATTTGCTCAAGGTTGTACAGCAGAGGTGAAGCTGGAGCCGAGGTCCCCAGACTTCTGGCCTATCCATGCTGCCTCCATCTGATCTGGAGTTTGGCTGGGACAGTGAAGTTGGGCTTGTACTTTTACACAAATCTGTTAAGGGATCTTGAAAAACCATAGATGGTAAAGGCTTAGATTAACGTTCATCCAAAAAACTGCACCCCCAGCAGTGCACGGTCCCAGCCTGCCCCATCATGGGGCCCAACCTTGTGAAGAGGGAATGATGGCAGAATCTGTTTAGCAGAGATCTGCTGTTTCTGTCCATCCTATACCCAGCCCTTTCTTGTTTCCCATATGCTTCATCTCCAAACTCTGCATTGAGCAGGAAGTAAACACTCCCATGTCCAGTCCCCCTGCTCTTTCTGCCATGATATACAGCTAGAAGGCCTAGCAGAGAGGAGCTGGATTTGGGGATGTGGTGGGCTTTGAATTTAGCTGGGTGTTCCTTATTTAGTTATGCTCAGCTTTAATATGTGTCGTCTTTGCTTTTGTAACAGCTCATTTGGCAGCAATGGAAGGCCACCTGCATTGCTTTAAGTTCTTGGTTAGCAAAATGGCTAGCGTGACTCACACACTGAAGGCCAGGAATGACCATGGGGAGACCCCAAAGGACTTGGCCCAGAGGTTCTACAAGGATAATATTGTAGAGTACATTGACAGCGTGGAGCAAGAGCGAGACCATCTGTTCAGTCAGGAAGGTGAGCAGAAACCCAAACAGTATCTGAAATACAAACTTTTGCAGCAGAAATGGCAACAGTGGCACAGTAACTGTGTAGAAGTGACTGATGCAGATATGGGAAAGTGACTCACTTTAAAGTGGTAGCATAGAGCTGTAGAATAGAGGCTGTCAGACTGCGTTGTTGTTATGCTGAGGACCAGACCTGCTTGATTTTTCAAACAGTCGTTCTTTATGTAGTACTCTGTGGGTGGTATAACTCATGTCTGGTACCAAGAAAAATGAAGCTGGCTCTATGGATAATTAGTTGCAGCAAGGAAAAATAAAATATATTATATTGCAATTAGGACCATTGAGTAGAAAATAAGCAGAAGGCTTTATTTTCCAACATTATTAGGCCATTCAGTTTAAAACAAAGGCGTATGTATTACTTCAGAATTATAAAGAGAATCTCTGTGCAACTATAACATGCCTACAGCCAACAGCCAAGGCATATTTAGTGAAGCCTGTAATGAATAATGCTCTGTTCTGCAGCTGTATTTTAACTGATTAAAGATGCATTAACTGCACTACCAACAAGAAGTGTGGATTTTCCATGCATGAGTTATTACTGAGAGAGAAAAAGTGACAGGCACGTGAAAATTAGCTTCTTTGTGTATTTAGTGGAATTACTGTCCTTCACTTGCAAATGTCTCTGTTACATTTGTTTAGATTTAGCTTTCCCAGCTCATGTTGCTGCCTTCAAAGGGGACCTGGTGACACTTAAAAGATTAGTGGAAAGTGGAATAATCAATATTAATGAGCGAGATGATAAGGGATCCACTGTTATGCACAAAGGTCAGTAATTATGATCAGGGTTTCAGCTTGTTATTGCTTGTTATTGACTTGTTTACTTCTTTATTTAAGTAGCTACTCATCCAATAAGCTTCACGAAACACAGCTTATTTTCCTGAGGGCTTCAAAGGGCAGCCAGCACTGAATGTACAGCTGGAAATACCTATTTGCAGGTGCATATGTGTACGTGCATATGTATAAGTGGTAGTGCATATGTGTAATTGCTCTTAAACTAAAGTAACCAAGTTAAAGTACAAAAGGCAGTGTATTTTCTTCCTTATTATACTTTTTTACATCATCAGTGCAGAGATATGCTGTACAGTGAATTGTTGCTTTACTTTCTAAGCATTTAGGGACCATGGTGATGTACATTATAGACAACCAAAATATAGTACACCATGAAAGGTAGTGATGCAGCCACTCAGGAGGGTCTAATGCAGAATTATGGGGAAATATTTTGGACCACTGCTGTTGCATTTTGTTGTGATACACCACAGGGCCAGGGTAATTCTTGTCCAATCCAGGTTAATTCAGGTATAGTACTCCCATGTTAGCTTGTATGCACCATACCCTCCTGGAACTAGAGGAAGGCACAAAACAGGCTGATAGCTCTGTACGAGACAGAAGGTAGAGGAGAGTTGCACCTTATAGACTAAGTAAATTATTGTTATACAGAACATTGATAAGGTGGTTCCACAGTTTCTCAGATGGAGTGAAGCACAGCTTGTCAGCATAGGCTGTGTGGTATGTAGAACCGTGTGGATTATTCATGCTGAGTCCCTTGAGTATGACATTCATTTGCTTGTATCTGGTCAGGAAGAAGATGAGTGAACCTGAGCAAGTTTCTTGTGTAGATTGATTGCAGTCCATTTGTTTGGCTGAGCATGGTGCCACCCCTGAGCAGAGAGGTAGTTAGTCTGTAAGGTGCAAATTTATCTTGCCTTCTGCCTGACTTCAGACTAAGCTAACTACCACTCTGTAGCAGACGAGCCTGCCAGACTGCACAAATCAGCTCTGATTTAGCCAACCATGAGTCATCTGCTGGCTGCTAGCAGGACTAGTTTCGTTTTTATATATAAACATATGCTTAATTTGTTTCTTGATACAGTGCCTTATTCTGCAACTACCTTTTCCTTTCTCTGTCTTCCCCTATTTTTTCTCTAGGAGTTGTAAAATGTCACTTCTGAAAAAAAAGAATCTTTTTTTATATTTTGTAGGAATCACATTCCAGTTTTACCGTTTTCACATTTATAATTCTACAGCCTGATCAGTCACTAAGGCAAATAGTTTTTTCCCATGTGTGCATTAAAGAAATCCCAGCTGCTTGAATCAGACCCCTTTCCAACAGTGTTAATTATGAATCAGATACAGGTTTCCCTCATGATGGACATGTGTTCCTGGAAAATGAGACATAATTCAAATTTGCATAACGGGAACCCACTTTACAATGTAACAAATAGGGATATGTTCCAAGATCTCAGCTGTACTGACCTCTGGACCCATTTCTACCACTTTTTCAAGACAATTTTGGTACTCACCAAGAGCAACAGTACACACAAGTACAGGGTGGTGGTGAATGTTACCATAATGGGGATGGCAACTACAGAAACACGTGTCGCAGACAACAAGCGAGGAGCACAGATCCACACAGGAGACTATATTTTAGTGTGCATCACTCCCACAATGCACTACACAAAGCAGCTGACTGTGGGCTTCCACCACACTGATTGCATAAGAGTGAATTTACCTTGCATATAACGATTTTTTGGTATAAAAAGGGTCACTGCGTAAGAGCAAATTTGCACATACAGAACCTGCATAAATCAAGGGAAGCCTGTACCCTGCTTCTGGTATCATGTGATATGTGAAAAGCCCAAGGAGAGCAATCCCCTTGCTGAATGAGTAGTAGGGAACCCTGCAAACCTCATCTCCATCCATTCTAATGCCAGCACTAAAAACAGGAGCAAGAAAAACCGTGAGGGGCTTTATCATCTAAAGTCAAATGCCTAAATCAGTAAGGCAAGAAGCAAATTCATTCTATGCAGAAGACAGGCAGGTCATAGCTGGTCTTATAGTGGCAAGGATTTGGACTAGATGACCTATGGAGGTCCTTTCCAGCCCTACTTCTCTATGAGTCTATAACTGTGAGACGAGAGGAAAAGAGCTCTTGCAAGCGATTACCAGAAAAAAAAAAAATTCTGTGACTTAACTCTCTCTCCCTAGAAGCCCACCACTTAGATAAACATTTATATGGTATGTGTGATTTGCTGTCTTTTTGAGGGCCACCCTAGCAGTGTAAAGTATCTTCTCTGTCTTCCCTGAGGAGGACTGTATTTGTCAAGCAAGTGCGTGTATAGATTGTAGAGGGACAGTGTCATAATTGTACCGATATGAAATTCATCGTTGCCTCTCGCTCAGACCTGTCCTGTCATTCTGGACCATATCGTAGATGTTCAGCTCTCTGTGATACTGCACTGCAAGGCCCAGGAGATAGTCCTGGAGTTCTCTCCTCAACATCTGAACCTCTTGTCCATTCAGTTCTCGTCATCATGATGCTGAATGGATTGTTTTAGGGATTTGCAGTCATGGTATCCATGGTAGTGAATACAGCTGACAACAAACTTGGAGAGATCCGATAGTGAGGATGAAATGAGGGACATGTTTTAGCAATGTAATGTCAAGAGGCATTCTGACAACAAACTGAGATGGATAGATATAGGGTAAGTTCTTTCTTGTTAACATAAATAGAGATATCCCAGGTTACAGGAGCTGAAGAGTTGGCCCATAACATTCATTTTACACAAAACAGGATATGAAAATATATAAAAGCTCTCCTTCCCTGCTGCCAGTGCACTGAGCTTGTCCTGGGAGGTATTTTTGTCTTGGGATCTTGGTGCTCAGGCTTGAGAAGCTTTCAACCCTTGTTAAGGGGGGCTGGGTTGGTGTGGGTGCCAAGGAACAAGGTTGGCAGCCCAGAGGTTGAAAGTTTAGAGCAGATGTGTTTGTGGTGCAGCCTGATCAGTATTCCAACAAAATCTGAGATTTCTGCTAAATACCTTGTCCCAAGGACCTGAAAAGGGAAGGAAAAGGCATTTAAGATTAACAAGTGTGTAGGACTGACTTTGATACATGCTCTCTCCATCAGCTGCTGGGCAAGGACACATAAACTGCTTACAATGGATGATAGAAATGGGAGCTGACTGTGATATTACAAATGAAGCTGGAGAGACACCAAAGGATGTAGCCAGGAGGTAGATGTCCATGTGCCTTTGTTTCAACTGGTTTGTAAAGGGCAAGACTCCAGACTCTGCTTTTACACCAGCAGACTGCTGTTGATATCAGTGGAGTTACTCCTGATTGCCACTAATGCGAGCAAGAGCAGATTTAGGTCCATTAATTCAGACTTCGGGGTAATAATTGTTTGGCTGTAATGCTTTACTGAGAGAGGGGCTTTACTGAAAGTATTTAAATAATAAAGGCAAATTATTGTGACTGGAGGTGAGGGGAACTGTGAGAGCTGTGTACGTGGCAAACTGTAAAAGAAGAGAATTATGTAACTGAGAAGAAAGAGAACAAACACTGAGGAGATATACTTCAGGCATACATAATAATGAATGCTGAAGGTGGCCAGCAGGCAGTATTTCTGTTTACTGTTAAGTATACCACACGTGCTTATTTGATTAAATTAAGAGGCAAAATAAATGTAAAGTCTCTGAAAAGAAAGAAACTTTTGCACAACTTCGTAAACTGTAGAACTGTTTTCTGTAGTTACCACCGAGACAGAAATTAAGTCTTCAGAAAGCCAAAAGAAGCATCTTAGCGGCCCTAGAGATCTAGGCTGTCCTGTGTACCAAAAGCCCCAAACTAACTACTACTGAAGTAAGTGGGAGAATGAAGAGAACCTGGGAGGCACTTCTATCTCCCATGTAATCAAGTGTATGCGTTTTACTTGGCAGTGAAACATGGGCTGCTTTTGTAGAGGAGCACATGGTATTGCAGTGGATACTAACTATTGACTGTGCCGTGCAGGTTCGCTCAGCTGGCAGCTGTGGAACTTTTGACCCAGGTAACAGGAGACAACTCGGATGAAGAATTAGATATCAATGACATAAGGTTTTTTGATAGACATGGTGTGGAAGGGAGCACGGACAGCAAAGCAGATTTAACCCTAGATCAAGTCAACAAAAGAGATGCACGTAGTAAGTAAGCTCTTTCTCAGCTCTGTCTTTTTCTGAAAGGGTGGGGAGGAATAATCATCTCAGGAGAAAAATATATGTAGCCACATAATTTCAGCCAAGTCTGCAGAATTTTTTGTCATCTGAGGTGTCAGGAACCAGGGGCTCTGTGCCAAGAAGCTTTGAACAGTGAGCGTCTTGTGGAAACCAGAACATTTTTGAAGTATGGAAACTAGAACAGAGGATAACTGGGAGATTACTTTAGTCCATCTGTAGGAAGCCAGCACAGGATTGTCCTTTATAGATTATTTTTGAGGGATATGTCAGATGTAATTCTATAACAACCAAAAACTAGACCTAGGCTACTTTCTCTGGGAGACTGTTCCACAATCCATTGCCAGGAGACAGCTCATTAGCTACTCACACAATTGTCTGTCTTGCAGTAAGAGCCTATCAAAGGATTGAAGAACTTAAGCAACTCCTAGAAATTGCCTGCAGCAACTACAAACAGCTGGGGGGAATAACTGAAGAGGAGAGAGTGAGGAAGAAAGAAGAAAGGGAGGCTGACAAGTAAGGTTCCCTTAACAGTGATATTTGTGTGTTTTTTTCCTTCCAAGTCTCTTCAAAGGTGTTCAAGTATTTGGTACTTATTTGGGCATTATGTTTTAAATGCAATATGTATGTATGGTCAAGAAGCTATCAGATGGGAAATCAGGTGAGCTTCTGTCATGTTTGCCTAGTTCCTCAGTGTTTCATTAGGGACTTCTGCAGAAATGGCTGAGGTGGTTGGACATCCCATCTGCAGAAGACTGTTGGGAGCGTACAGGAAATCTCACACTATCCTGCTGAGACTTTGGACTCCTAAATAGTGGTGCCACTTTTTGCAGGCCTCCTTCTGGTTCTCTACTGTTCTCTGAGTCTCTGCCTGTCCCCAGCTGGAGATTTTGGCATCCCCAAACCAATGCTTCTTGTCAGTCACTATGTGGGTGGAGCTGTAATATTGAGGACTTACAATATAGGAGCAGGGAGGTATGTGCAAGGGTACTGCAGAATTTAGTGGACACTCTACAAGTCAGATATTGCCCTCTTAAAAGTGCCCTCTGGAAAATGGTGATAACAACATTCATCTGCCTCGCAGGGTGCTGTGAAAGGCAGTAATGCTTGTCATGGCTCACTTTAGATTGGTGGCCAATAGACAAAGCATTCTGCATTTATCTCCATGGGTTCCTTATTCTAAATATCTGTGAAGATGGCGTTTTAGGCACCTGCAAGCTCATCTGGGTCTGATCTTTCTTCCTGGCTTAGATTCTCAGGGCAGGGCATATGCCCTCATTTTGTGACTGTGCTGGTTCATACTGGTGCATGTGAGATCACTTTTCAGTTTGTGATGCTAGAGAGCTGGTTGCAGTAGGAACAATTGGAAGATGAAATCTGAATGATGTTTAAATTGCTAATCTCCATGATTCACTGATCACTTATGGGACCATGTGTTGCTGAGTATCATATGCTGCTGTGATTTCATGCAAACTATAGTTCATTTTTTTTTAATCTTAATTTCTGGGAAATCCCATAGTTTTAGACTTTAGAAACAGTTTAAAGCATCCACTTTCTTGAATATACACAACCTGCCACCCTATATCCTATCAGTGAAGGGACCAATCTATATGATTTCACCATTTCACACTCTCCCCTTGGTCCTGCAGGTATTTTTGATGTCCTGAGAATTCGGACCAGGAGGTAAACTTGGCTTTTGCTCAGTGTGTGGGATTACATTGCCCTCTAGTGGCTGGCCAGCATCTAAAACCGTCTATTTTAGCAGAGCTAACGCCTAAGGGTTGTTTGTTCTTTTGCAGCCAAATGTACTGAACCACTTACGGTCCACATGCTGCGATGTCTGTATGTGCGCTCACACGGCGTGTTGCAGTGGCAGACAGCCTCTTTGTCCTTTCTGCTCCCATTGCAGATACTGACCAATTGCAGCCGCTGTGCAGCTAGGACAGGCTGTGGCAAACATGGGTCCCTCCCTGTTGGATCAGAAAGCATACCACCCTTGCAGTCTTCTCTCATTCAGCATGCTAATGATTCTTAAATAGCTACTGAACTGTGGTGAGGTTTGGGCCACAGGCTTCCTGTGCTTACAAGGACAGTGGCAGCAGGTGCTGGTGTTATGCCTTACGCTGTTCTGGAGCAGTAGTACAGGCACAGCTAAACTTATGCCCCAACTAGCCTCCATGAGCTGTTTTGCCCCTGCAGCAGCAGGTTTGGACCTGAACTTTCTTTTGGATCACCACAGGGCAGTGGTTTAACGAGCACTGTGCTTTTGGCAGGATGGTGAGAGAGCTGGAGGCCCAGCTGGAGTACGAGCGGGTGCGTCGAGAGAAGCTGGAGAGCCAGCTGGATGATTGTCGAGCAGAGATCGCTCGCCTCAAGGAGTGCCTGGCAAAGGTGCCGGTCTTGCCCCTGCCCACTAGGGTGAGTGCTGCATTTTGTACTGTCTGCCTTCACAGCACTGCTTTGGAGAATGTGTGAAAAGGGAATGTGAAAAGTTTGGGAGCAGAACACTGTTCCCCTGCTAAGACACATGACAGTTAGGCCATTTTGGGGCATCTAAGTCATCTAGTAGCATCTCGTTTTGCCTCTGGTAATAGCCTAATGGCTTACATAGCTATCACTCTGTTTCAGTGCACTGCGAGCCCCCAAACTTTTCATGTTCCCTTGTGTTCCCCCTGCTAAGGATCTGGGACACCCAGGTGCTAGATTCACTGCTGAGATTTGAACCTTGATCTCCCACATCACAGCCTGCCAACCTGATCATTATACCATGGGACTGAGGCTACCTTTCTATTAAGTTTAGGCCACTGGGCAGCTGAGAAGGCAACATCCTGGGTGCTAGCAGAAAAGTGGTAAGAGGATGCCTCCCTGAGGCTCAGGATGGTGAATGCAGCCCTGGTATGAGCCCTTATTTCATTATACAGCATGGAGTCATTGGGAAAACTGCACAACCAGCCTATGGGCAGAGAGCAGGCTTCTTCACAGGATGCTCCCCCTGGCTGTAATCCCCTCCCAGCGAGGCTAGAAGAGATGCCCAGACTGCATCATTTGAAAGCCTTTCAGTGGCAGTCCTGATCCCAGTGCTTCTTTAGGCAGGAAAGGCTTCTTGGAAGACCTGACTCTGAATCCCTCACACAGAAGAGCATATGCTGGTGTTGGACCGAGGGAAGGAAAGCCTGGGGAGCTGCTTATAGTGAACCTCAAGGTCTTGGACTTTAAAGCAATAAGAGAACTCAAATGCTGCACAAGTACAAGATACAGCAATGACGCTATGTACAATACTCAGCATTTTCCATTCCTTTGTTAACTACCTCACCTGCCTTGTGGGACATCAGATGTTTCTGTGCACTGTCAAATCTCCTGGAAGGACACTTCTATGACACCTCTTCCTACAGACCCTGAAACAGGCGCACTGACTGGGGACCTATCAGTTTTTAGGTCACTGTGCACTGCAGGCCAGATTCCCTTCACACTTGCATTGATTTAATTCCATTGGGCCAGATCCTGCTCCCTGTTACTAAAATACACTCCAGATTGGTGTCATGACTTGGTAAAATGCACAAACAGCCTTGGGAGCAGGGGCCAGGACCCAGGGCAGTGCCTGTCATCCTGAGCCACAGAGTTAAGGTCTTCCTATTTGCTTTCATTCTGACCCTGGACTCTCCCTCTTGACTGTGCTGTGGGCCAGCTTGAAGAAGAGCAGGGTGGAAGGCTAGAGCATAGGAGGTGTGGGTTCGGGCCCCCTGATGTTAAAGAGGGGGTATTGTCTATATCCTGATGAAGTGCTCTGAGCATGAGGTGATCTGTGGAAGGAGATCAGGATTATCCTAAAACTGTCACATAGAGGCCCAGCTGGTAGGACAGATGTCCTACTAAGACACATCTGCTTTCTCCGCTCCAAGGGAACTAGGAGCCCAGAGCAGCCAGGCTGAAGTGAATGGGAGTCATATGCCTCCTGGGTCCATCTCTGGAGGTGTCCTAAGTGCTGCCCACTGACATAAATGTGCAGTTCTGCAGAGAGCAGTAGGAGGCACACAAGCTCCTATTGAAAGTGCCTACACAGGCAGAATGGGATACATCTTGGTTTTGGGTTGTGTACCTCAGGCACTTGTCAGCAGCTGTACATTAAATCCCAAATGGGCAAAATAGGATTTATCCCTCTGTGATCCAGAGCCAGCATCTCCAAAGAGCAGCCTCCAACCGCTGCATCTAACGAAGCTGGAAGAGGAGGATTCTCTGATGCACGTCAGAGGGGGCTCTCCCTGGCCGCCAGGCAGGTGCGCACCCACTGCTTTGCTGGTAGCAGCAGCGAGAGGCTGGGACCAAAACCCCTTGTGCTGAGCTGGGGACTGCAAACCATCAGCTTGCCTTGCCTGGTATCCCAATTCTGACCAAGCTGTTCTGGTTACTTCAGAAAGTGCGACAAAGCCAACACCTCACCCCAGCCCATAGCGGCCATGTGTACAGAAGTCGTGGCACAGCAGACAGAATCCTCCTCTGGCTACGTTGTGCCCAGGCCCTGTCTGAAGGCTTGCCTGCACTGTCCACATGCAAACGTGAACGGCAGCGGTAAGCCTCCTGCTGCCATCTGCTGGCCTCCGGCTACAACTGCCTCCTGATGGCACTTATGAATGGCACGGAACGGCACGAGCAGCCCTGGAGCTCCTGCCTGAATACAGGTGCCTGGGAGTGGAGTCCTTTGTTTCTCCATAGGCAGCAGTGTAGGCTGCAAGACACACTCATGACTAGGGGCAGCTCACAGCACCTCCTATCCCTCTTGGTTCTTGGCAAGGGTTTGGATGGCAGGGTTTTTCTCCTCTACCTGAGATGCTTCATGCCCTTTGATCATGCCCTCCTATTCACAGTTGCTTCCTCCTTTCTTTCTCCCTCTCCCCTGCTTCCATGTCTCTCTCATACCCTGGGCTCTTTTCTCTCCATGTCCCAGGACTGCCCTATGTAGCCACTGCTGTCTGCCTACTACTCCCCTGCCCATTTGGTGTGGGAAAGCCCTGAAACAAACCCACCTCCTGCTTCCACAACAGTCCTGGGGCACTGGCCAGACATCCTTGGAGTCTTGTAAGCCTGTGACTCTTGGACTCGTACTGTTTCAGCCTCTTATAAGTTGTAATTGGGCTGTTTCAAGCAGGGAAGACAAGACGTGACCCACGGATGCAAGTTTACTGTTATGTGCCCTTCTGAATTAATACGGCTGCTGACAGAGGGTCTTCGATGGCTCCTCAGCACTGTCCCATGAAAGGCCTCTGCTTGTTCTGACCCCTTCACTGGTGAGGCTGTGAGCTTTGCTCTTGTTTGTTAAACCAGTGGGGGATTTCAGACTTGAGAGACTGGCTTTAAAAGTGAGACAAGATTGTCAATGATAAGCCAAAGTGACAACTGGATTGCTATTGCTATGGCACTGATAATGTGTCCTGCAGCCTTCCAGGTACCTTGCAGCAGGGGAAGCTTCAAATCAACCAAAATCAAAAGTTCATTTCAGTTAACAGCACTGCACTTTCTTACATCAACAGGTCTTCAGCCCTGTATCAAAACAAATGCTGAGGGCTGGAAGGTGAGCACAGGAGCTGTAGATGTATCAGCCCCAGAAAGGCATCACTTTTTTCCCCCCCAGATAAGTTGGCAGGTCTAATCAGTTGCCCTTTAGGGGGTGAGAGTGTTTCTGGCTGGAGGTAGGGAGCTTTGCTGGGAGAAGGGATGGTGCAACCCAAATTACAGGTAACCTTGCAAGTTGGCTACTGATAAAAGAGGCAGACCTTTCATTTACTTGCACTTCAAAACACAAAAGCATTTAACCCAAAGGCTATCTGACTACCTGTGAGAGCACAACAGCTTCTTATGTATACTAGCTAAGGAGACTTGAGAGGTGGGTGGCATGTAGATTGGCAGCAGGTCTTGAATTTGCTGAGTTTTCCAAATTTTCTCTTCAGCTCATACCCCTAGATGCCTTACTCTAAATCTTCTAATACACGCTGTCTGATGGCCTTTATTTATTTCACTGAACCAGATCTCTTGTGAGTTTGGACTGTGTCACTTAGTTAGGAAAGTAAAAGGAAGGGTTTCTTATCTTTTCTTTCCCCATTGTGAAAGGCTTGCTGTTAAACACAGACCTGTTTCTTTTTTACCTTAGCTTATGGCCTTATCTGGCAAGGCTGTTTTGTTTTTACAAGTGATCTAAGACTCTTTAACAAAAATACATCTATTATAACAAAATAGCATCTAATACATGTGGTTACATCAATCGCTGATATTAATATTTTAAGACAGCTATGATATAGTGTATTTGTATTTGGTTACTGTATGGTGTTCTCGTGCAAGTATCTTCTTTCAGTCCTTGTACTCTGTTTAATTGGATGTTATTACTGGTTTTGCTGGACATGTTAATTGCTTTACCCTGCTGACCATGCTGCATTGGGACGTTCTGCTTAGCTACACTTCTGCAGCTTGACCTAGGCCCCTTGAAAATGGCCAAGGCTGGTAACAATGGGAAGTAAACAGAAGAGAGATGAGAAAAGGATCCATTTAGTGCCCATTTTTTTCTCAGCTGTAGGCTCAGGAATTGGGATAGTTAATTTACCATTTTAACTATTATTGTATTTCTTACGCATTTCTTGTTTTATGTTTAACACAATATTTTGCAACTGTCTGAAAGAGTTTGTGTGATTTAACCCCCTCCTTTGTAATGGAAGCAGGTTGAAGCACACGGCTGCATTGTAATGGCTTGTATGTCTTCATTGCAGGAAATTGAGGCTCCTTCTGAATTGGGTAAAGAGAAAAAGAAGATGAAGAAGCCACTCAGCAGCCCCGGAGGTGTGTTTGTGAGACGATGCTGAGGGGTGCGTGGAAAGCAGAATTCATCTCGTTCATCTTGGAAGCGTGGCAGGCAATTAGGAAGAGGTGATCACAAGGGAATGCCGTTGTCTTGTAGAACCCACAGGGCAAGCCCTCAGTAGAGTATGGTGAGCTGAACCTGTGCCAAACAGCAGGGTTTGTACTCTAGTCCTCTCTCAGAGTAAGCTCCTTGCAATAAATGCATCCTAATACATCAGAAGGGGGAATGGAAGTCTTTTTTTGTACTATTCTGGCACTGGGCAACATTCTGTGGGACTGCTGCTATAGTAAGCCTGTAGCCTAACACTGGGTGCGTCTACATGAGATGTTTACTGCGCATTAGACTAATCTAATCAAATGGCAGGGAGGCAGTAGGGGGGTAGGAAGATGAGCCAATAGGAGACGGCAGCTTCACTCCTACCCCTTTCCCCACACCTGCTTACCCTTTCTCCAGCACTGCAGGCTCTGTCCCTGCTCCAGCCTGGGGCACGGAGCACATGTGGTCTGGTGGCAATGATGGCAGAAGCTCTGGTCAGGCCCCAAAGTCCGGACTGGAGCTGCTAGGCTGCTGTTGCTGCTACAAGACTGGGCTGGGGCTGAAGGAAGCACGTGCTCCATGCCTCAGGCTGGAGTGGGGATGAAGCCTGCAGCGCTGCAGCAAGGGTAAGCAGCAGGTGGGAGGGGGCAGAGGCTGCAGGCGGAGGGAGGAAGAGATGGAGAAAAGGGGCCACAGGCTGTTGCATGGGGGGAGGACTGGGGAAGGAGACAGCAGTGGGTGGGGCAGGCAGAAGCTGTGGTTCCAGATCTAACCGTGGGTTGGGGCCAGAGCTGGAGCCACACCACCTTGTACTTGATTCCAAGATGAGCCCCATGCTTATGTTAAATGGGGAAAAATCCTTCTTGTCTTGGTATTTAATAAATAACAGTATTAATGCAAAATCCATATGTGGATCACATACAGACTGACTGATGATAAACAGAAATGGCAGAGATTCAGAAGGTGAATGCTATAAATATGGTGTTTATTGTGGCCTCGAGTGACTCTGTACAACGTTTGCTTATAACACAGCTGTACCTATTAAAATTAGGCATGGAATAGTCAACGTCTGAGACAGCACATATCACCACCACCCACAGTGGGCAGCTCTCAGGAGACTAACACTACTGCCTACTATAAAACATGTTGTCACAGTTTTCCAGGTTGGTTTATTTTAATCACAGCCCAGGTCGCAGCTGTAACAATTCTGTTGCAGGAGAAAGTTTACACAGAATTTCGTGCATGAAATACAAAATCACAAAATACCAACACATCCTGTTCGTAAACAAGATAAACCTGGAATAACCTGAAAATGCCACTCTAGATATTTTGTAGTGCAATTCTCTCCCCCCATGCAGGGGGTACTCCATTACTACAGCCATACCATTACCTGCAAAGATGAACTGAGCATTGGCACCACTGTGGCCAAAAATAATCATCTATAAAAAGTCAAAAAAAAAAATTGGCTTCTTTCATTTTGGATGATATTACTACATCCTATTATATCTCAGCATTGGTATTTAGTGAGCAGTGGCAGAAAGTCGAGGCCATGGTCAAACTTTGGTTTAGAGGGAGTGGACGCTGGAGGCAGGGAAGGGAACACTGGAAGTCTCATGGAAGTAATTTATCATCCCAGCCTGGAGTCTACTCTCAGACGAAGGCTATACAGACTGTACAGAGTTTTCCAGCAATGGGGAAGAGTCCAAGTTCCCCTTTGCCTTGTCCCAGGATTATACACAACCACTGAAAATGGTGCTATTTCCCCTTAGAAAGCATGGGTCTGTACTTCTAGGTTCTGTGGGTGAGGAGGAAAGAGGGAGCCAAGAAGGGAAGAGGGGGGTGGGATGGAACATTTTGGCCATTATGTCTTAGCCTGAAGGGAAAGGGTCCTTTTGAAAAGGCCTATGATTTTTCTGATTTAGGGTAGGGTAAGTTTGCAGCTGAAGGGTAACATCCATTCCCTGTACCTTGAGCCACAGGAAGTCTCACACAGCAGCATCTGCTTGGGTCTATTTTCATCCCTTGCATCTTCCTCCACTGGACTGCAATTTCCAGCAGGTCATACCACATGGTAAACACTTTTGCTCAAATAGAGGAAACAAGCCTGTGAGAGCAGGGCCTTTGCAAAATTAATCTGGGACATGGATTTTGATTAGTGTAGCAACACCCTCCCCAATTTCTCATTTAATATGAGAGGTCTTTTAAAGAAGGCCACCTAGAGCCAGAGAAAGTTTTCCATATATTCTATTATTGACCCTATTTTGCCTGTGAGTGTTATGCATTATGAAAACATTTCCTAGCACTCACTAAGAATCATCATCAAAATGAAGGTGCCAAACAACAGCAATAGCAAACACAAGGTCCTAAGAGATGTTGCCTGATAGATCGAGGAGGCCCTTTCTTTGTTCCATGGTATAGTAGTTCCAGTAGCTTCATTTCCAGAACCTGTAGAATCCCAGTGCTATTGCCAGGCAAGCGAAAACAGAAGCTGCAAATAGAAACAGGAAATAATTAATGTGGCGCAAAACATCATCCTGTGCTCGGTGCAGGGAATTCATTTTGCGACAAATGAAAGCTGACTGCAACTCCAAAATATGCTAAATAATCTAAGACAGGTCATTTAATTTTAAAAACATTTCTCTCAGAGCTTAAACCTTTCCTCAGGACACTAGCTATAGAGACATGATATCAGGAGTCAAACTATTAGAACAAGTTCTTGTTACACAAGTAAAATATCTAAGTGTCCCCCCACCCCCATCAGATGAGATGACTACCAAACTAATAAAAGGATTTCATAGATATTAGGGCTGGAAGGGACCTCATGAAATCATCAGGTCCAGGCCCCTGCCTAAGGGGCAGGAAGTCAGCTAGGGTCAGATCACCCCAGCAAGATAAGCATCCAAGCGTTTCTTAAAGGTATCTAGGAGTAGGTGCTTGCACCACTTTTGGAGGGTGTTTATTCCAGACTCTGGAGACTCAGATGGAAAAGAAGTTTTTCCTTACGTCCAGTCTAAAACAATCTACCATCAGTTTGTGACTGTTAGACCTTGTCTTCCCTTGGGGTGCCCTGGTGAACAGACATTCTCCCAGTTCCTGATCCACACCCCTCATGTACTTACAGGCTGCCACCAAGTCACCCTGGAGCCTTTGCTTCTTCAGGCTGAAGAGTCCCATGCCTCTCAGCCTCTCATCATCAGGCTTGTTCTCTTGAACTCTAATCATGCGCGTGGCTCTCCTCTGGACTCTCAAGCTTCTCCACATCCTTTCTAAAGCGTGGAGCCCAGAATTGGATGCAGTACGCCAGCTGCATTCTCACCAATATACATCAGGGGTGTCAAACATACTGTCCAGGGGCCAAATCTGGCCTGTGCAGTGCTGTGATCCAGCTCGTGGATGTTGGACCAACCCAAGATGTTGGTCCAAGCCCTGGCTTCACATGCTGCATATGGCAGGTAGGTTGGACACACTGCTGTGTGCCCTACATAGCAG